AGCTGATGATTTTAAAACTACTTTACAATATGACAGTATTTATTGTTATCATGATAAATTATGTCACAAAATGTTTGATTGACAATATTGATTTTTCTAAGTATGGATGGATTTCGTCAGTACTCTACTGCATGTTTGATTATAAAGGAAAGCCTGTCTACGCCTGCTGTAATTAGATACAGTGCAACACAGTACATAAAACATTTGTAAAAATTGTATTCGAAGTTTTTGATAGTAACTTTAAATTTGTCACTATTGTCTTTGTTTCCAGATGTCAGACAATATAAATATTGTGAGTGTATCATGAAAACTTATTGAAGTATCGTATTTAGTATGATTTTTTTTGCCAGATCTCCCACCTTGGAGCTGATTAGGCTTGTTAAAAAGTGCTTATACTGCACTCTCCTCTCTCTTCAACCTGGAATACCATAATAACAGCACAGCAAAACTCTATCAATCATCTGGGATGTCACACCAACCACCTACCAGCACCCTAACAATCATCTGGGACATCATATCAACCACCTACCAACACCCTAGCAACCACCTGGGATACCATAGCAACTGCCTAGCAAGAACCTAGCATCCACCTAGCAACACCATAGCAAGAACCTAGGCAACATCCCTATCAATCACCTGGGATACCATATCAACCACCTACCAACACCCTAGCAACCACCTGGGATACCATAGTAACTGCTTTGCAAGAATCTAGCATCCACCTAGCAAGCATTAACTGCGCAATCACTCTACATTTTCCTCAGGAAATGCACTTTTCTAGTTTTCTTTTCTTCCATTTTTTCTCTCGGTCTCTCTCTCTCTCTCTCTCTCTCTCTCTCTCTCTCTTATTCTTATTTCTTTCATTCACTATTTTTGCAGAAACTTCTAGGGCCTTTGTTCTTGCATGTACTGTATTGCCATAAAAATCCAAATATAGTTATCTTCATATTTTCAAAAGACCACTGTGATCATACAAGCTGATGGATTTTAAGTGATCTGATACTTGTGCTTAAATATTTTTACTACATTTTGCACTGCTCATATTCACATGTGAAAAATAAACATTTACATACTGCTTTGGTGTTAGCTATTAAAAGTTAAAAGATAGTCCCATTTTCCATGATGTTTGACAGAGGGATAGTCAGTAGTGGATTCTGCCTTATTGTAGATACCTGCAGCATTATTGGGAGAATGTTTTCTTCTCAGGAAAATTACAGCAGTATAAGTGGGTTCCTGATTATCAATTTGCCCCGACACAGCATTATCTTGATCAGAAGGGATGATGCATGCTGCATTGCTAGTTGTAAGTCCAGTGAAGTCAGGATGATGTCTGGTGTCTATGATGTCCTTATAATATGCTGTCTGAGGTACCTGAGAGTGAGAAAAACATGTACAGCTCACCAGATTAAACAAGTAAGCCCACAAAATACCTAATTAATTGTACTGTATTATTAAACCGTTTTACTGTACATGAGCATTGTTTTGGAGGATTTATACTCAATTATTGTGATTGAATACTTGGTCTTTTATTCAATTACATTTCTAAGAGAATAAAACATACTTTTTACTCTTTGGAATACTTTTGGAATAAAAGAGTTTGATATAACATGTTAACAAGTTTAAAAATGTACTATTTATATTAACATGCATTGGATTTCCCATATACCCGCCTAACCACCTTTATTTGTCCCATATACCCGCCTAACCACCTTTATTTGTCACATATGGCCATATATATATATGCATGCCTGACCCTTTATTAAGATTAAGTGACCCTTATTGGTCCCTCAATGGGGAAATTTCACCTCCGCAATCTAACAAATCTGTGCTGTGAATCACCACATACACACTAGTGAAGACACACACTAGGGGGCAGTGAGCACACTTGCCCAGAGTGGTGGCAGCCCTATCTACAGCGCCCGGGGTGAAGTTGGGGGTTAGGTGCCTTGCTCAAGGGCACCTCAGTCACGTCCTGTTGGCTCAGGCTATCGAACCAGCGACCTTCTGGTCGCAAGGCTGGTTCCCAAACCTCCAGCCCACGACTGCCCCATGGTATGATACCTGTGCATACATAAACCATATATCACATTTCCAAATGAGTTCATTGCCTAGTTCTGTAATGCTTTGAAAAAAATCATTTACATATATCTGCTTACATGCGTTTGGCCCCACCCATTCACACTGAATTTATAAGGAGTGTTTCAGCACGGACTGCTTTTTGAATGCAGCACGATATGGAGTAGCCAATCAGAACCTAGCTCATTTACATATCGGTCTTAAAGGCTCAGTAACAAAAACAGTGTTTAATTCTAACGCATAAAGAGAGGTTGGAAATTGATCAAGTAACCATTAATTATGGGTGTGGATAGAAAAGGGAAATGCAGGACATGGGCACTTTAGGGCATCCAGATTCACACATGTCCACAGCTATGTTCATTAGTGTTTATTTGAGGACTAGTACTACCAATTAGTTGCTGTGTCACACACCAGGAGGTGGTCATAATGTTATGCCTAATCATACATACATACATACATCATCTAAACCGCTTATCCTTCTGGGTCACGGTGGGGTGCTGGAGCCTATCCCAGCTGTCATCGGGCAGATATGCCTGATCAGTGTATTCTTATTTTATTTTTTTCTCTGAAGTCCACTTGTAACATTTGTGTGGTTTTATGTATCAACAGTCATAATTCACGTTTACATGACCATTTTCCAACCTCTCTTTATCCCTTAGAGTTATCAGGCTGTTTTTGTTGCTGTGTTTTTAAGACTAAAGTATGTAAATGAGCTCTGTTCCGATTGGCTGTCCTGTATTGTGCCTTAGTCAAAAAGCAGTCTGGGCTGAAACACACTTTGTAATGTGAAATGAGTGGGCAGAGTTAAACTGCTGTAGGCACAAGAGTAGTGAATTCAAAATGGACATATGTGCATATTTTGAAACTTTAACAGTGTTTACATTCTACATCAAACTCAAGGTTTCAAAAAAGGGAGAAGAGGTAGAAGAATCTCAGAAGGGAATTTCAAAAAGTCATAAAACTTAAACCAACCACCAACTAACCAACCATTCTTAAAAAGAAATGTAAAACCCACTTATACAGTTTTCACTCAGATTCTGAGATTCACCAGTGTTTTGTTATTTGGGATTTGTTCTTAGGTAAGAACAGAATCTACACACACACACAAGAGCACAAAGGTGAGAACAGTTCTGCGCTTTAAGAACATGTCATGAATTTGATGTAGATTTTTGCTTAGGACCATTCCCAACAACACATTTAAGAACAAACTTAGGAAGATATTGGAGAATGAGGCCCCAGACATACTGGGTTGGTTGAGAAGAGAGATGGCTCTGAGGTCTGGTCCTCCTCTCTTGCACAGTGCTGCCCAGAGGAAAGAAAGGTGAGACATGAGAGAGTCCTTAGAGAATTCCTGGGGCCAGAAACTTGGTTGGTCAGATTTTGACCAGACATCCTGGCACATTGTGATTGCTTACATTCCTCTTGTAAGTTGAAAGAGTTAACTTTGTCTTAAGAATTCTGCTCAGTTTATGAATAAAAGTAGCTGAATCCACTACAAAAGTAGGAAAATTCAATTTTCCACGATATTCCACCTCTGGTAAGTAAAATAGTTGTAAACTGTTGTCCCTTAGTGGATGACCACACTAACTTCTGCACAGTAGTGACATTCTGCCTCTGTGGTTTTCAGCTAGTGTGAAAGCAAACATCCTGTCCTTCACACATAATGTGTGATATCTGCAGACCTAAAACGCAGTGACAACTATGAGGTACTGTACTTTTCTAATGTGAAAAACACTGAAACCCTAATACTGGCTTGTTTAAACAGTTGTAGGACTCTGGCTTCCGAGTGGCTCAGTGCTGAGTCTAAGTGTTGGCTCTATTATCAGGAGATTCAGTCCCTGGTGATGCTACAGCCATCCGTGGCGGGGAGCCCAAGAGAGCACAATTGGCCTCACTCTCTGGGTGGGTAGGATGGCCCCCCTTCTCCCCCATCACTCAATGCTTTAATAGTCACCGCAAGCGTCTGTTAGCTGACGTAACAGATCTAGTGGTTGACGGTTTCCTCCAAATGTGTTCAGCTGTCCAATGATGTTGCATTAACAGCAGTTTGAAAAGATGCAGTGGCTTCGCAGGTCTCAGAGGAAGCCTGTACTAGCCTTCACCCTCCTAGCGCTGGTAGTAGCATGTGATTGGGGGAGTCCAGACTAGTGAGTGGGATTGGAGACGACTAAATTGGGGGAAAAATCCAGAAAAAGTGGAATGACTGCAAAGTTTCCTTCATGTACCATCACAAGAGGCACTTATATAAAATAAGAGTAATAATGAATAACCAGAGTTGGGCACAATACTTAGAAAAAGTATTCAGTGATGGCTGAATACTGAATTCACTGTCCCTAAATGTATTCAGTAACATACTCGATTATAGCATGTAAAAAAGTTACGTATTAAGAATATTTTGAATCTTGACATGCCACATGGGAAAATCTCTGCTCTTGTAACTTTTACTTATTCACACTGTTCCTCACCATTAAACCAGAATATGTTACCAATTATCTTCAGGACAGTGTATTCAGTACATTCATTGTTTAATTTTAACTCCAGTATGCCCTGGTAGACAGCTAAAATAACAATGTTTGTTGACATATGAATATTTATGGACCTGACTGTAATTCATCAGTCCACTCAGGGTTTAGCAGAGCTCAGTAACAAATTAATAACTGATTACATTGATTAGATGACAGAAGAACCATTTTGGGTTCTCCCAAAGAACCATGTTTGGGATGTATGAGTGTGACAAACCTTTTGTTCGTGACCCGTTGTCACTCAAAACTGTCCTGATACAATATTTACCTGTTTTAACGTCCACCTTTACTTCAGCGTAGCTGAAGGACACCTGAACTCCTCACCTGTATGTTCCTCCATCCTCAGCATTCTCTTCTCTGATCAGCAGTTTCAGGGATCCTTCAATGGGGTCACCACACAGAGAAAATGCTCCCTCTGACATCCATTCATTTGGCCTGATGGAATTCCTCTTATGTGTGCATTTATTTAGGTTGGCTTGTTCTGGAAGAGAAGAGAACAGGAACCTCTCTTTTATGTGTGCTAGTCGAATTGTACACTCTTAAAAAAGATGGTTTATCAAGAGTTCTTTAGTAACAGACAATAGTAAAAGACAATGGTTCTATACAAAATCATGAACAGTCAAAGAACCTTTGCATCGTTAAAGGGCGCTGTAGCTGGTTCTATATAGAACGTTTTTGAAAAGGATTCTATATAGCACGAAAAAGTGTTCTGCTTTTGTAACAATATCAGGTCTGTAACAATAGATGAACCATTTTTGGTGCTATATAGAACCCTTTTCAATTAGGTTCTATACAGAACCATCTACAGCACATTCTCCATCAATCTGAAAACACCTTTCAAGATGCAAAGAACCCTTTAATAATGCAAATGGTTCTTTGAGTCTTCATTGTTCTATATAGAACCATTTTCTTTACTAAAGAACCCTTGAAGAAGCATATTTTTTAAGAGTGTGGGGTTACATAAGGGTGGTGAGAAAGAGAGATAAGTCAAAAGTTTGAGGACACTTGCCACGCAGCATGCAGCCAACCAGGAGCCAGCATGCAGGGGGGCACACGCCCCAGTTAAAAGAGGTAATGTTTATGTTGTTTATGCTGATGTCGGTTAGTGTGTAATATGTTAAATATATTATTCTGCGTTGGGAGTGTGTGTGTGTGAGAGGGGATGGTGTCACCAGTAGCGTGAAGTGTGTGGTTAGTGGTGACCTCCCCCACAGGTTAGCTATATGTTCTGTGCCTTCCTACCTGCTAAGTTTAATAAAAGGCAGTTCTCCGAGCAGAACCATGGCTTCACTTTGCTCTTCATTTGATCGCAGTCACAATATTCATCTACAGGCATGAAATTTATTTTGATTTGAAAGAAAACAATCACACACGTAAGAAAGTGAGAAAAACCATAAAAGAATCGAGCTGTAAGTTCATCTAAAACATATAAGTCAGTGCATCTAAAACCTTTATAGCATTTTTCATTTTAGTTTTTCTTCAAGGTTTTCACAGGATTACAGTGTAAACAGTAAAGAAATCTGAGTCTCTACAATCAACCATTTTACACAAAACCACTCTGAATCACTCTGTTTACATCTTAACCACCAATTTATGCAGAAATTTAGGGATTTCTGTAGAAATTTAACAGAATGAAGCCAAAATACATTGGAAAAATCACAGCACGCAATGGAATAACAAAGCAATTCAAATGAATTCTCAATAATTTCACTTTTCTTCATTTTAAGTCAGTCTCATACCATGAGACCAACACTCCATACCAGTATTTGATGGCATGTTCTGATTCCAGCTCTCTTAAATACACAATGAAGATGTATTGTGTTTTGTCATCATGCACAGAAAGCCTTCCATCATACATTAAACCTAAGCAGCCAGTAACATCATAGCAAACGGCTTGACCTGCAGTGTCGGGAAACAACTAGTACTTACACTCTGCCTGTATGTAGCTGCGATTTCAGCAGTTTTGCTACTTTATATTATGGGACAAAGCAGAATATCTGACCTGAAATCAAGTAAAGGACAAAAATGAATTGTCTCTTACTCTCTGATGACAGGAGTTCTTCCTCCTTTTGCTTAACACTCTCTAAAATGAGATCTGCTTTAGTTGTTCACAGCTTCTCAGGTGTGAATCAGGGATGTCCAATCTCACAAGCTCCTCCCATTATAGCCCAAATGGCAAGACTGCCATCTACTGAAGATCAGAGATTAAAGCAACACAGCAATTCACAACAAACTGAATTTAATTTCAATTCTAACTACAAGTAGAGTAGCAAAAAACATTCACAGTATTCCATAACAAGTGCTGATGAGATGTGGTCAAGACACCAAATAAACCAAACTAAGACAGAAAAAGCTTCCACTAGTGTTTTCATAACTTTCACCGCATGTGCAAAATAATTTTCTATCTTGAGTAAGGTCAAATTTGCTGATGGTCTTGCCTAATGTTTTGCATTCCAGCTCCATTCCTGGAGACCCCACCTGCATTGTTTTCATGTCTTCCCAGCTCTAATGTGTTTATTGCAGCTCAGGAAGCACAGTGCAGAGCGGGCAGACATCCCGGACCAGGGTCGGAGAACACTGGTCTAACCAGTGTATGAGGAACTGATGCTGTTATTCTCCTTTGGTTTGTGGTCCAACACTCACCACTCACTCAAACATTTGTAAAAAGTGGTGAAAGAAACAAATATTTAAAATTCTCCCATGTTTCACATGCCTTAATTTGACTGTATCAAAACTATAACTGCATTTCGTAGTGCCGTTTGAAACTTTGACACTTTTTTTTACATTCCAACTTAAAAAGACACAATCAGAAAACAGAGCAATAAACAAAGAACATGTAAAAAGTGAACTTTTCCAGTTTAAGTCCTCGACATTCAAAAAGAAGACCCTCTTACCCTGTAATAAAATCTAAGAACATTCAAACTTTGAACAGATTCAAAACTTCTTCACTTAAACATGCTGGTCCATGTACCACAATTAGGGCAGGGTATCGAAATTTCATACCTCCATGGTACAGGCTGAAGTATTCAATAATGCAAATTATCAGAAAATGTTCACATCATTGAGTATAAAATTCCAATACCTAAGACATCAGCCTTATCAGCATCTGTAATCGAAAAGCAGACTGCTGATTGGGTATCTATATAGTCCATTTGCTGTCAACATCAGCTTTTTAAAGTTTTAAGTCCATTTAGGTCCATCAGTATACCTGCTTCCAGCACCCCATTCATTTCTCATTTAGCCACACCCACAATTTGTTTGTAATAAAATATCTATCAAAAAAGTGCTGTTCAGGAATCTTATCAGAGTCAAGCTATCAGTATTGTATCGATATTGAAAAAGATACCCAGCCATAGCCACGATTTAACTGTCCACGCTGACCAAAATTAAAGCCAAAACATTTCTGTCCTACCCATCAGTGGTCATCTCCAGAAGCAAGAAAAATGTTACCCAACACAAGAAAGGTTGGACTGAAGCCTGAACGGATGTCTTAGTCCAAAATCTGCTTACAAAAATAAATTCCTATGTTAAAATATCTTAAAACATATCTGAAATAAAAGCTTGATGTAGTGCAAAAAACATTTTCAAAACGTACCGTTCACTCTCTGTCCCAAACAGTCCATATATAAACAAAACCCATATAAAATCTTCTGTGAGGTCACAAAATACCTCATTTACATACATCCACCTACAGCAGTTAAGCCCTTATAGATGGAAAAGTTGGGAAAATGGTCACCGTGGCTCTTCTTGATACATAAAACTGTACAAACATCATAAATTGAAAATAAAATGCAGGAAGCATGCAGGACATGGGCCCTGTGTAAACAAAAGAAGTCATCAAAGCATCATCACCCCCACAATGTCCACAAACCTGAGCTGATTCAGCTATACTTCAATTATGCCTTTCATCCCATTCTAGAACTACAAAAACATTCATTTTGAAGAATGAACATTAGCTAACAATAGCTTTTCACTAGCTAGAGGAAATCGAGATGGGTTTTAGAGGGGGCGCACCCTTGCTAGCGACAGATTTTACTGCATTCCAGCACCAAACCTTTAACAAACTGTCCCCAGACATGTACCCTCGTCACGTCTGGGCCTGCAAGACTAAAATTACAGAAAAACAGTGTCACTCTTTCACAGACAGTGCATTGTTACATCCTTGGCGTATGTACTTTCTGATGGCTCCGAAGGTGCGACAGCTGTGTAAAAGTCTTGCCACACTCAGTGCAATGGTAAGGTTTTTCTCCTGTATGTATTCTCTGATGGATTTTGAGGCTGTATGAGTGAGCGAAGGTCTTCTCACACTGAGAGCACTGGTAAGGCTTTTCATTTGTGTGTGTCCGCTGATGGAGTCTAAGATTAGAATACCTCGGGAATTGTTTTCCGCAAGTAGAGCACTCATAAGGCTTCTCTCCAGTGTGGACGCTCTGATGCCTTGCTAGTATAGATGAATTTGAAAACTTCACCCCGCAGACAGAGCACTGGTACGGCTTTTCTCCGGTGTGTACCCTCTGATGGGCTCTAAGGGCTGAAGACTGAGCAAACGTCTTGTCACACTGGGAGCAGTGAAAGGGCTTTTCTTTCGTATGGACCCTTTGGTGCTTTTCAAGCAACGAAGGGTACGCAAACTTTTTTCCACAAGTGGAGCACTGGTGTTGCTTTTCTCCAGTGTGAACAATTCGATGCCCTATTAACGATGCTGAGCTGGAGAACTGCTTTCCACAGGTCAAGCACTGGTAAGGTTTTTCTCCAGTGTGTGTTCTCTTGTGTATTTTCAGTATTGATGAGTGTGCAAACCTTTTTCCACACATGGTGCACTCGTAAGGCTTCTCTCCGGTATGTTTTCGCTGGTGGTTTTTAAGGTACACCGAGCGTGTGAACGCTTTATCACACTGGGAGCACTGGTAAGGCCTCTCTGAAGCATGTAACTTCTGATGGGTCGTAAGACTTCCTGATTGACTAAAAGTCTTACCGCACTGAGAGCACTGGTACGGTTTCTCTCCAGTATGAGTCCTCTGGTGGACTTTGAGTTTTGCTGAATTAGTGAAGGACTTGCTACACTGAGAGCACTGGTGAGGCCGTTGCTTTGCATGTAATGCCTGATGGCTTCTAAGGCTTGATGAGCACGAGAACTGTTTCTCACAAATGGGACACTGGTAGGGCTTCTGTCCAGTATGTACTCTCTGATGGACTTTAAATGAAGAGGAATTTGGAAAAGCCTTATCACACTCGGAGCACTGGTAAGGTTTTATTCCAGCATGAGCTCTCAAATGAGTCGTGAGGTGCCCCGAGTCGCGGAAGGCCTTATCACACTGAGTGCACTGGTAAGGCTTCTCTCCGGTATGTATCCTCTGATGGATTGTCAGGTATCCCGACTGAATGAAAGTCTTACCACAGTAAGAGCACTTGAAAGGCCTCTCGCCTGTGTGCACTCTCATGTGTATTTTAAGGCTTGATAAAGTAGATAAAGTCTTTCCACACTGTGAGCAGGAGTAAGGTCTTCTTCGTCTGTTGCGTCTTGCAAGTTTGCTTAAGCATCTGGATGTCCAGGGAGGCTTCTGATGCATTGGTTTTCGCCTAATCTTTTTCTTCCGAATCATTTCTCCAGATTGCTGACTGCTCCCACTGCAGGATGACAACTGGCGCTGCTCACCTGTTTATGTAAATAAGCAATATTGTTAAAATATTACTTTAAGTGTTTAAGAAAATGTTTTTCCATTAAATAAATCACTAGCCATGTGTACCAGCTGCCCAACCAACCTTTTCTCATGGCTGTCATCGGTGCCTGAGGTCCTTTTATTATTACCACCAATCCTCATTGAAGAGTATAAATTTTAGATTTTCATAAATTTTACGAAATACTACATGCTGTATGTGGCTAAAATAATCAGTACCTTGACATATTTGTCTGAAATAGAAGTAATGCTATTTTAGTCCTGAGGTCTATATTTGGTTCAATTTCTTCGAATTGTATAGTACACTCTTTAAAAAGATGGTTCTTCAAGGGCTCCTTAGTAAAGTAAATGGTTCTATACAGAACCATGAATATTCAAAGAACCCTCTGCATTATTAAACAGTTCTTTGCATCATGAAAGCGTTCTTCAGATTGATGGAAAATGTGCATGAATGTGCTATAGACGGTTCTCTATAGAATCTGTTTATAAAGGGTTATATCTAGTATCCAAAAGGGTTCATTTGTTGTTACAAGTTAGAGATTGAGAACAGTGGCCATGAGAGGCATGAAGATGGCGCACAACTCTAGAACTTCCACCCATTGTCAGTGCCTGTGGGTCAGGCAGCTCGTTTACATACAGCCAAATAATCCGTTAATAATCCGACTAATAGCTGAGTTGGAATAGAATATGTCCATGTGTATACTTGTCCAACTGAGGCTTCTATCTGATTGAACTGGGTGGGTAATCCTGTAAATAAAAACAGAAGAATAATAGTCTTGTAAACACCTGTATCTGATTACATTCCCAATCCGAAAGTTTAAGTATGTTCTGTGCATGTGTGCCTGCATCATAATGGAAGTTTATAAAGTTCAACACAGAAACTGATCTGCAGAGAAGACGAAGTTTATGCATCAAACTTTAAAATGCTTAAACATAGTTAGCAGAATAGACAGAGGCCTAAGAATGTTGCAGGATGTGACGTCTTCCTCTCGCCACTTCTTTAGTATGTAAACGTGAAGTACGTTTTCCTGAATTTGCCATCATTTTAAAGCAATTTAAAACACGAGCATACCAGCTGAAAACTAACAATCCAAATGTTTAGAAAAGCCTTTTTTGTCCTCTCAACAAAAATCAAACCACTTTGGTAGCTACAACATTTTATGTCCATTTTACCATTTTGGCTGTAAATATGTCTCAGCATGTGCTGATATACTTGAACAGGATAAAAAATATAAATGAAAACACAGACTTACTTTGCTCTGCTTTAAGCTTTAGCTCAGCTATAGCTGCTTTTCTCGCATCTCCGGCAGGAAAAGTAGAACAGTGTCTTGTAAAACGTCTCTCAACGTTTGATTTTTAGGAGACGCTAAAGTCTCTTCGAAGTCGCTTCTCATTCACCAGCTTCTTTTCCGGTTCCACCTTAAATGGTACCTGAGCCGCCAGAATGTAACTGCTGCACCATTTAAGGTGGAACGGGACAATTCGAGCAAGAAGCTGGTGAACGAGAAGCGCAACTTCAGCCTCACGACTTTAAAGTGTTTGACAGTTTCTTGTTACAGATTAAACGTATCAGGAAACCAGCTGGAATGATTATAAATGCAAGTAAATCCATTCGTCTCCAAATTATCGATGTTTGTGTAAATCTTTCTGTTTGCCGTTAGATTAGCCCCAGCGTTTATAAACATTTATTGTTAAACTGTGTTGAACGATCAGCAGAGCTTTATTTTACTGAAAAGGAGGATTATTTTAGTTTTACCTACAAATCTAATTCTGCTGCGGAGCTGCAACAGGACAGTAAAAGAGCCGCATGCTGCCGACCCCAATCTACACTAATTGGTACTCTGCATGTGCGTAACTTTGTATCTGATTACTTGTAGTGTGCATGTAAACATTAGATTGTTGAGCAAAGTGTGACATAAACACCTCAGTCTTTATTTAAAGTCGGAGTGAATTCAATCGGATTGGCGAAAATCTTTGCACAGCCTGTGTTATAAGTGGCAAAATAAAATAAAAGCAGCAGTACAAAAATCAAGATCTTTGGAATTCAAACACAGTGCAGGTACCTGAGGTCAGCGTGTCTTCATCATGACTGTCCAGGCTGACCATCTTCCCACAGTCCACCAGCTTCACTGAACACATCTGTAACAGCGTCTGCTGGTCTCCACCGCTGAACACAGTGTAGGACATCTGCACAGGGTTTGGCTCATGTTTACACTGTGGAGGTCCTTCCTCCAGCTCCTGAAGTGCTCGCTGGTTTTCATCTTCACCCACAGCTTCCTGGGTCTCTGCGGTGGTCTGTCCATTTGCACGAACGGGAGTCACGTTGAGCGCATCCTCCAGATCCTGCGGGGTGGACTGGTCTTCACCACGGTGTCCAGTACTGGCTATTTCTTTTGAAAACTGTTCATTTTTAAGATCAGCTAAAAAGCTGGCCACGTCCAGCGTTTGTTGCCCTACATCATTGACTTCACGCTTCAGATCCTCATATTCAAGCTATAACAGACAAAAACACAAAGCATTAATGTCATAAATTTCACAGATGTACTGGAAGCAAATAGGAAATCAATGTAACTGATGGGTATTTATTTCTAACACTACAAGCAAAGAAAGGTACATTTAGCATCCACAACTGTACACACAAAAACATGGCTCTTCAGGGGTTCATTAGTAAAGAAAAGGGTTCTATACAGAACCATGAACAGTCAAAGAACCCTTTGCATGATTAAAGGGTACTTTGCATCGTGAAAGTGTTCTTCAGACTGATGGAGAATGTGCTGATGATGGGTCTATATAGAACCTTTTTGAAAAGGGGTCTATAAAGCACCAAAAATGGTTCCTCTATTGTGTAAAGCTTGATATCATAACAATTGAAGACCTGCAGAAGAAGAATAACAAAAAACTGTTCTTCAGTAAAGGCAGTAAAGATGTTTGTATGCTTAAAGGCTTCTTAGCCTGGTGAAACTGTTCTTCAGATTGTTGGAGGTTGTGTTGTAATGCCTCTATAGAACCATTTTCAAAAAGGTTCTATATGGTACCAGGGTTCTTGTACTGTTGCAAGCTTGATATCAAACAATCGAAGAAACCTCTTTGGTGCTATATAGAACCCTTTTCAAAAAGCACATTCTTAAGAACCCTTTCATGATGCAAAGAACCTTTAAGCATGCAAAGGTTCTATACAGAACCATTAAAGGTTTCTGTGGGTTCCTGCTGGTGTCCAATAGTCACTAATTGTATTCTGTGTTTTAGAACTCTTTTCAAAAAGCACATTCCTAAGAACCCTTTCATGATGCAAAGAACCTTTAAGCAGGCAAAGGTTCTATATAGGACCATTAAAGGTTTCTGTGGGTTCCTGATGGTGTCCAATAGTCACTAATGGTATTCTGTGTTTTCCTGATGGGATAATATCACAGTGTAAAGGACTCTAATGGTTTAACTGGTGTTCTGATGCATTTGATGGTTTCCTAATGCGATCTAAAGGTGTCCTATAGGTAGTGGTCTCTAATGGTAACCATTTAGCCAATTCCCATTAGAAAGCACAAACTAGTTTTATTCCTAATGGTTATAATGGTCTTTTTCAGTAGTCCAACAGGAAGTTAGTGGTCTTTAATGGTAAACATCAAGCCAGTTCCCATTAGAAAGCAAAACCATCAGATTGTAATCCTAATGGTTCTATTGGTCTGTGATCTACACTCTGATATCAGCCCATCAGGAAAACACAAACCACTAATAGTGACTACTGGACACCATCAGGAACCAGCAGACACTTCTAATGGCTTCAAGGTTATACATGTACTTCCTGTTTGCGGTTGAAGTGAACTGAATGAGCTGCGTCCCAAACCACAAACTACTACACATCCCGCACTCTGTACTGGTGGTCTAGAGTTCTGACGCGCTATATTTATAAAATACAGTGCGGTTTAGGACGCAGCCGCGGTCTCGTGTGACTTTAATGAGAGTATTGCGTCGCTGTATTTAGCGGTTTGGCTATTTTGGTCCACAGGAGGTCATTATTCGTGTCGTGTTCACAAAAATCACACCTTACATTTTAAAAACACCTCAAAACCTGGAAAAATGCGCTTTTGAGGAAAATGCTGGACTGTTCGGTTAATGGAACGAAGCTGAACTCAGCTCCTTGTTCTAATTGTCCCGTTCCACCTTAAATGGTCCAGCAGTTACATTCTGTCGCCCCAGGCTCCACTATTTAAGGTAGAACGGGACAGTTCGAACAAGAAGCTGGCGAATAACTACTGCCACTTAAGGTGGAACGGGACGATTCGAACAACAAGCTGGCGAATAATTACTGCACCACTTAAGGTGGAACGGGGCAATTCGAACCATAAGCTGGCGAATAACTTCTGCACCGCTTAAGGTGGAACGGGACAGTTGGGAAAGTGGAGCTGACCTCGCCCTGCTCCTTCTGCTTCAACTTCGCCTCTAACGTCGCCACCAGCGTCCTCAGCTGCGCCAGTTCAGTCCGGAGACCCTCCAGGCAGGAGATGTCCACCATGGAGAGGTCAGTGCTCACCGCCTTGGTGCAGGACATGCCTGAAGCTGCGTCTGGCGGCTGGTTTGAGCTCTTTAAAGGCTGAAGGTGGACATTCAGGACCTGCAGGTCAAAAACACCAACCCAAACCCTCTGAAACTGAAACTGGACACTAACAGGCCGAGTGAACTCCCACAGCTGCCCCACATACGCGCGAGGAGGCTGGACAAACCGGTCGACCTGTTTCTTCAGGGCTAAGTTTAATGTTCTACGGAAGAGCAGAGGGGACAATTCAGCGGAGCCGCACAGGTGCTGTTAGAGCTTATAAAGCACTGTCTGGATTTACTGTGATTTACCAGTATTATGGGAATCTGTCAGGCTTGTTTCACTACTGACTACACACTTAAAAAGATGGTTCTTCAAGTTCTATTTAGAACCCTGAGTTCTGTATGTTACTATATAACACTAAAGGGGGTTCTTCTATTGTTACAATGTCAAGCTTGTAGCAATAGCAGAACCTTTTGTTGCTACATAGAACCATATTTTGAAAGGTTCTATACATTCTGGATCAATCTTGAAGAACAATTTCACAATGCACAGAACAATTTAAGCACGAGATGGTTCTGCATGGAACTCATGGTTTGTCAAGGCCTCTTTAGTAAAGGCAATGGAACAATTTGCCTGCTTAAAAGGTTCTTTGCATGGTGAAGTCGTTCTCCAGATTGATGGAGAACGTGTTGTACATCGTTCATAATGGAACCTTTTTGAAAATGGTTCCATGTGGCACCAAAAAGTGTTCTTGTATTGTTACGACAGAACCCTTTGGTGCTACGTAGAGCCATTTTCACCATGCAAAGAACCATTTAAGCACGCAGAGCTCATGGTTCTGATTAGAAACTAAAGATCCCTTGAAGAACCATCTTTTAAGAGTGCGCTGCATTGGAATAAACTCTTAAAGATGGTTCTTCAAGGGAAGGGTTCTTTAGTAAACAAGATGGTTCTATATAGAACCTTGAACACTTTGCATGATCAAAGTGTTCTTTGCATGGTGAAAATGTTCTTGAGATTGATGGAGAATGTGTTGTATATGGAAGCTTTTTTGAAAATGGTTCTACATAGCACCAAAAAGGGTTCTTCTACTGTATCAATTATATTGTATTTAATAATGAAATATTTCATATTTTTTTATTTTAACTTTGCAGTAAAATGCAAAAAAAATCATGTGTGATTATTACTGGAATTTTCTAGTGAAATATATTAAAATGCAGTGATTTTTGAAACGCTTAGCTCAGCCCACAGTACAGGAAGTGGCGTCAGTGCTTAACGAGACCTGTCAGAAGCCGAACGCGTCACACGTACTTTGATTGACATGGAGCGCAGCCAATTAGATTCGTGACGTTGACCGCGTCATGGAGTGACAACCAAACGCGGACTGTTTTAGTGAACTCAGAGATGAGGAGCGCTATTTGAATCGGTTCACCTCTCGCAGTAAGAGAGCGATGAAAAGCTGAAACCTGTGTTCTAGTTTTGGCGGTTTTGTGTGAATAGTCTGTTTTATAACACCGTAATAGAGTCTCTGATGCTACTGTAATGACTGTCACTGCGCACTTCACGCTGTAAACACTGCTGATTTTCCTGGTTATGTTTATACTCACTGTGTCGTAACTAGTGCAACACCTGCTCTCATATAGACACAACAGATCTGTCTTATATGACATGTAAATATACAATAGATATACTTATATATACTTAAATATACTTACCTCCTCTCTCATAGGTTCATTTATCTCTGTTTCTATTTCTGCCTAATAAATGTAAGTTTATGTGCAATTGTCTTCTTACAGTATCTATCTATCTATCTATCTATCTATCTATCTATCTATCTCTGTCTATCTATGTTTGTCTGTTTGTCTATCTGTCTATCTATCTGTCTGTCTATCTATCTTATTTTCTTTTTTTATGGTGTTTCTCTCTGTTCAGTTTTCATTTGTTTGTTTTTTCCTCTTTCTCTCCCTTTGCTGTATTTTATTTACGGTTATATGACACTTTTAACAGAGCAGTCTGTGTATCTGTCTGTCTACCCCTCTGTCTGTCTATCTATCTATCTTGGTCTGTTTATCTATCTATCTATCTATCTATCTATCTGTCTATCTCTGTCTATCTCTGTCTATCTATGTTTGTCTGTTTGTCTATCTGTGTCTATCTCTCTATCTCTTTATCTGTGTGTCTATCTATCTATCTTATTACCTGTCTTTATGATATTTCTCTCTGTTGGTTTGTATTATCGTTTATGTTCACAGTTTTCATTTGTTTATTTGTTTGTTTGTTTGTTTTTCCTCTTTCTCTCCATTTGCTGTATTGTATTTAGAGTTATATAAAACTTTTAACTGAGCAGCATTAAAGTACATGGACACATGAAAACTGCATAAACCTCGCCAGTTCTCCAGATGTGGACCCAAATGGCTGTTGACGAGGGCTTGAGAGCATTTATTCAGTCCAGTCCGTTCAGGAAGAGAGAAGTAGGGAAGGATGGCGCTTCATTTCATCAGTCTGGACCACCAATCAGCCAGATCTACTGTCTGTTTGTGTGGAAGACCCACACAAAAACCTGCCGAAAAAAGACCATTAGAACCATTAGGATTAAAGCCAGTGTGCAAAACACCCCCTGGTATTTAGGGGATCCCATGTTGGCTGGCTAATCCAGCGTTAGCTGGCTGCTAACTCACTCACCATAGTGGTCCTGATGTTTGTTTTATCGGTTGTTCTTCTGTAAAGTCTCTGTTCTAGTGTGGTTCTGCGCTCTTCCTCACATTAACTGAGATCTTCCTCGTTTCCTCTTCTGTCTTCAGTGTGAGAAATGAGGAACAGTCACTGGACGAGTTTTCAGATTTCCAGATCTGCTGCAGCTCATTGTAAAGTTTTATAGAGTTATCTTGGGCACAGTTACAGTTATTAGACTATGAAGGACCAACTGGGTGAACTAGTCTGCTACAGCGCCACCCTGAGGCAGAGCAGTGACGCAGCCCTTGTTAGTTAAGAACACCAAAGACAGAAGCTGATTGTGGGTGAAGCAGGTAAACATTGAGCCTCACTGAATCTGGATTTTAGTGTTTATTTATCCCTAATGAACAGCATAACAACATAATAAATTTATTTACAGGGACCCCCAGAATTCTGATTTTAAGACATTCAGGGGGTCTTAGAGGTTAATTAGGAGGTCGCGGACCCCCCAGGATGCCTTGTATTTTGCACCTTGGCATCGACCCACAGAAATATACCCTCTAATTGTCTGTAATGTAGTGCATAGTTGCAGGTTTCAAGCTTATTTTTGCTAATGATACAACATAAGCCATCCCTACTGAAAACAGACCATTATAACCATTAGGATCAAAACCGGTTTGTGCTTTCTAATGGGAATTGGCTTAATGGTTACCATTAGAGACCACTTCCTGTAGAACACATTTAGATCCCATTAGGAAAGCATCTGGACTCAGGCTCACAACACACGTTAAACTATAGTCCTTTACACTGTGATATCAGCCCATCAGGAAAACGCTAAAACTATTATAGACTGTTGGACACCATCAGGAGCCATCAGAAACTTTTAATGGTCTTTTTTTTTTGTCAGCTGGGATTACAGAGGCCTCACTGTAATCTGATTTAACGCACTGATTGTTTCTTCGGTGTTTTATTAAACAAAAGAACAATGCAAATTACATTTTAAAGAAGTCTGTTTTGTTTGGGTCTTAAATTCACTTAAAATAAAAAATAAAAATACATCTAATGTTGCATTTTGGGGAAAATGACTTCAACTGATGTTAAAAGGTAAAATAAAAATAAAATCGGTAAAAAAGCGGTTTAAAAGGGCAGAAACGCTTAGCCCCGCCCACAGCGTAGGAAACAGCGCCACGTCAGCAGTCCTGAAGACCTATCACAAGCCAGTTCCGCATACGCGCTTTGAGTGACGCGCGCCTCGACCAATCAGATGGGGAGTTCTGGGCCGCCGCTCCACAGACCGACACACGGAGCGTTGGAGGCGGATTGTTGTTGAAACAGCGCTAATAGAGCCGGACAGCGGGTCTCGGGCTGGACTCTGAGCAGCTGAGCTCAGGTCTGCGGTCAGCAGAGCGATGAGGAGCTCACTTTATAGAGACCTGAGCGCTGAGGAGGAGATTCTCCCTCAGCGCTGATGTTTCTCGTCACCACCTGATCGTGTCCAGATTTGGAACCGCTCTGTAAGTTGACGCTGGACAGTCCAGCTGGTTCAGCCACCATAAGAGCGCTAGTTTCGCTCTGAGGGTCTTTCTTTCTGTCCAGGATGACGAAAAAGAAGAGAAGGATGGAGCTTCATCCGTCTGGAGCCCCGAGCAGCGAGGCGGGGGGATCTACTGTCTCTATGGAGGAGCCTGTAAATCAGAGAGGGGCTCAGAATCACTGGACTGAGGGGGCTTCATCTGAGGAGACCCTGACCCTGAAGGAAGAGGAGGAGGAGGAGGAAGAGGAAGAGGAGGAGGTCTGTAGATAACTTTACTTTTCCAGACTGTTAAGTTTGGTTTTTGTACAGTGACACAACCTATGATCCGCACTGCACACTTCACAGATGGTTCTTCAAGAGTTCTCCAGTAAAGGGAGTAGTTCTAGAACCATGAGTTTGCATGGTGTGCACAGTGAAATGGTTCTTCAGATTGATGCAGAATGTGTTGTTCTTTATAGCACCAAAAAGGGTACGATGTCAAGCTTGTAACAATAGAAGAACCTTTTTTGGTGCTGCATAGAACCATTTTCAAACAAGTTCTATATAGAACCATATACAACACATTCTCCATCAATCTGAAGAACCATTTCAGCATGCTAAGAACCATTTAAGCATGAAGTGGTTCTATATAGAACTCATGGTTCGTCAAGGGTTCTTTAGTAAAGGCAATGGTTCTATTGGTTGAACTAATGGTTCGACTATGGTTGAACTAATGGTTCTAATGGTTCTACTACAAGTTCTATATAGCACCAAAAAGGGTTCTTTTGTTGCAATTGTTGTGATTTGCAAATTGTTGCAGAACCCTTTTTTGGTGTTACATAGAACCATTTTCAAAAAGGTTCTATACATTCTCCATCAATCTGAAGAACCATTTCACCAAGTAAAGAACCATTAAAGTGGACAAATGGGTCCATTGCCTTTACTAAAGAAACCTTGACAATATATAGATCCATTTCATGCCTTAATGGTTCTTTGCATGGTGAAATCTATTTATCTATCTGTCTGTCTATATCTATCTGTCTATTTGTCTATCTATCAATGTCTATTTATCTATGTCTGTCTATCTGTCTATCGATCTGTATATCTATCTGTTTATCTGTCTATCTATCTATCTATCTATCTATCTATCTATCCATCTATCTTATTTCCTTTTCTGATGTTTCTCTCTGTTGGTTTATTTTACCGTTTGTTTCAGTTTTCATTTGTTTATTTGTGTTCATTTTAATAGAGGGGTTTATAACAGTAGCTACGTTTACATGCATCTTATTAATCCATTAATAATCCAAATAATAGCTCAATCTGAATAGAACACGTCCAGGTAAACACCTCAATCGGAATAGTCTAGTCCGATTGAGGCCATTCGGAATACACTATCTATCCAATTGAACGAGGTGGGTAATCCTGTAAATAATCTGTTAAATAGAGGAATAATATCCGTGCAAACATCGTGTATCTGATTACATTCCCTATCGGAAAGTTTAAGTCGGTTCTGATCATGTTCGTCGCACATCCAACATGGCGGAGCAGAAACTGGTCTGCAGAGGAGACAAAGTTTATGCTCTGATCTTTAAAAGACGGCGGTGGGACGGACGTCCAGCTTATGTGTCTCAGAACACGACGTCTTCCTCTCTGCCTTCTTTAACATGTGAAGGACGTTTTCCTGAGTCTGACATCATTTTAAGGTCATTAAAAACACAAGCACTGCTCACTGCTGCTCATCTCACTCTGACTGGACTCACGTGATGCTGGATGTCATGGTAACGTCTACAGTAAGTGGTTCTCTACGCATGCATGTAATTTTGCATCGGATTACTTGTGGTGAGCATGTAAACAGAGATTTTCATCAGATTGTTGAGTAGAGTGTGATATAAACACCTCAGTCTTAATCTATAATTGGAATGAGTTCAATCAGATTGGCACCTCTTTGCTTGTAAACACAGCCAGTGTTTATCAGTCCTGCTCCTGGAGGCCCGCCGCCACTTCAGTGTTTTTCCTCCCCCCAACATACCTGATCCAACTATTCAGCTCACAAACAGACGTTATTGAGATAAAGTGTCAGTGTTAAAGCAGGAAAAGCGGTTAAATGTGCAGGGCAGTGGGCCACAATGGGCCATTGTGTGTGGAAAGACTTGGTCCAACTTTAACCCCAAAACTGATTTAAGGACTGATTTTACTGGAGGCTTCGTGCATGCAGCATTCCATCTTAAATTCTTTTCATGCAGATATAACCACAGGTTTGTTTTCGGTGGGTTAACCCTGCTGGAATAGCAGCACAGTTCCATGCTGGTCTGGTTTATGCTGCACTGTAAGCCCAAATAAGCTCACATAACTTAAACAGCAAGTTTAAGTTCAATGTACTGAAGATTTTAAACTCTACATGTTAGAATAACAAAACCTTTTGTGTTAGGTTAACTATTCTATTTATTCTAATTCTAATTATTTTAACTTTTTGAGTTACTCAAACCTAAAATCCCAAGTTAATTACATATTTCAAATTTGCTGGTTTTAGGGTGGAATGCCCCTTTTAAAGACCTCCTGCATTCAAAAATGTGTTTTTGTTAATGGTTGATATACAGTAATATATAATAATGGTTAAAAATTATTATATTACCATTATGTTTCCATAAATCATTGTATTAACCATTATTAATAATAGTTGATAATGGTTAATATAATTTACATCTTAATTAGTTCTAACTCATTTACAGTTAGAAATAAAGGTTCTGTTCAGGTACATTTTTCATTCATCAAGGTACAAACAGTGTAAATGTTCCCTCAAAGGTACAACATTGGTTTTAAGGTCTGATTGTGAACCTTAAATAAGTTTTTCCAGGTGAAAAGTTCGTATTTGTACCTTTTCATAACCGAATGTTTTAAAACAGAACAGTAAAATAAAAGCCTAGAGACGAGACGGGGTGTGTGGAGTCAGTAGAGCTTAGAAAACATCATTTCAGTGGTACAGTTATGTTCCCTGACTAAAGGTACTGAGATGTACCCTTGAGGGTTCCACCCCAGTGACAAGAGGGGCACTGCCCCAGTGACAGTCTAGTACCTTTATTTCTGAAAGTGTTTGTCATTTGTAATAGTTACCTGGTAATAACAATTATACATAAAAGTGTTTAACAATTATTCAACATAGATGATATTTTTATAGTTTATGATTTTAGTGGTACTTTAAGTAGTAATTGATGGGTTGCAGATTTGTTCTGGTCACTGTGTCCTGGCCTAGTAACATGAAGGACAGTAGCACTAGGTTTACAATGTGGTTCTTTGCTTTTCAGCCTTTTGACTTTGAGGTTTATCAGGCAGGAAAGCTCAGCCACTGCACTGCGGATTATCTGTGTAGGACACCACGAGGGGTGTCTGGTTCAAGGGGGTTGAAACGTGATGCATTTCTGTCTCCTTAAACTGGGGATGTGGAGCAGCACTGTAGTAGAGATCGATGGCAAAAATCGATGCGAGTAAATAAGAAGTAAACACTGTTCCGTTCTGTTCTTCCCCATGAAATGATTTTAATTTTCTATTCTCAGTAGCCCATTTAACCTGGAGATACACTACAGTCCCCAGCATGCACTGCAACATAGTGTGCATTCTGACCCTCTTCCCCCAACAACAATCTGTGGGTCAGCGGTTACCCAAAAATAAAAGATCCCTGGTGTCTAGTTCAAGTAAATAGGCAGTTTAAAGAAAACTACCTAAAACAATAATTCAGAAAATAAATCAGAAATGTTTTTGAAAAAGTATTTAATGTCTATTTTGCTATTGAAGTTTTGGCATTGTTGGATAAACAATTGGCAAATGTTAAGTAAAAATGAAATTAAAAATACAGCTGCCCACAGATTTGCAGAGTTTTTTTTTACTATGGCCCTTTTAGTGGTTGAGTAGGACACCCCTGTTCTACTATGTCCTATTGTATTCTATGTGGCATTTGAACCTGGAGGCTGCTGTTGCCGTTCTCATCCTGGAAACCATTGAATTTACACCATTCAGATTGAATTCATTACCAATTATAGAAGAAAACATAAGTGTTTACATGCTTTACTCAACAATCTGATGGAAATCAGATCTAATGTAATCTAAAAGATCTACAAGTAAGCAGATCTAATATTTTACCTGAGCTAACTGAGATTTCAGTTGGCGCGCTTGTGTTTTTAATTGCTTTAAACTTGCGGCAGAATCAGGAAAATGTACTTCACATGTTCTTATCGAAGAAGTGGCGTTAGGAAGACATCACATCCTGCAACATTCTGAGATCATCCATCCATCCTGCTGACTGCTTTCAGTCTTTTAAAGTTTGAAGCATAAACATTGTTTCCTTGGCAGACCAATTTCCGGCTCCCACAGAACGTACTTAAACTTTCCGACTGGGAATGTAATCAGATTCAGGTGTTTATGTGGCTATTATTTATTTACAGGATTACCCACCTCGCTCAATCAGAAACTGCATTCCGAATGGCCTCAATCGGACTAGCCTAGACTGAGGTGTTTACATGGACGTATTCTATTCTGATTGAGCAGTTGGTTGGATTATTAGCAAGCAAGCAAGCAAAGTGTATTTATATAGCGCTTTTTACAACAGGTGTTGTCACAAAGCAGCTTTACAAAGAAATCAGCATTACAGAAAGAAATCCGGGTCCAAGCCCCCATGAACAAGCCAGTGTTATTAATGGATTATCAAGCTGCATGTAAACATGGCTACTGTCAGTAAAGCAAGCCATGATGTAGCTGACAAATCTGATTAAGTCAGAAATGTCCACTAAACACATTTAGGGTCAGTTTCCTGAACAGAGAGCTTAATCCTGGACTAAATTCTCCTATCAGTGGAGAATCTCCATTTAGAATAGTAGATCAGAACCCACCTGTCTGGAAAACTGACCCTAAGTGTGCCAGAATCAACTGATTGAAACATTGTGCTAGTTAGTGAGCAAAGCGAGAAGCAAATTCTGAAGAAAAACATCTTTTCAACTGTTCACGGATCAGGAGCTCAGATCATAAACACAGGATGTTTGCATAGATGTATCAAAGACTAGCAAAATGGAAGACTATGCCAGCGTAACCTCAGAGGGTTTACCACAAGATGCAAACCACTTGTTGGCCTCAAGAACAGAAATGAAAAGTGAGGCCACAGTTTACAAAGAATGCTTTCTAAATATAGTGCAGCTATGGAATTTTTTCAGGCAAAAAAATATTGTTGACTGGTCAAATCAATGATCTGGCCTCATACACCACTGATTGGTATTTCACTGAACGCAAAAATGTCCCTAAAATGCAGGATCTTAAAATGACAACTAGCCTGGCAGAGCATCACTGTGTCAGTGGGCAGCAGACTTCCGACTAAAGTTGTAGCCAAGTATTAAACATGACCATTTTATTCTAGATTATGTTGAATTTGTCCAGTTACTTATAGACCACAGGATTTCAATGTCAAGAGCAACAGTACCTAAAATGGTTCACACCCGCAGTAGTTCCTTTCTGCATGGCGGTCCACGTTTTTACCCCAAGTGCAGCTGATGTTTGTGGCCAGAAAGCTTTGTTTTTGTCAAAGTTTTAATGTTTTGCAAATTCAAAGAGCTAATCTTTGGTAAGATTAAAAGCTTTCTTCTTGCAAGTCTTCCAGAAAGCTTGTTTGCATCAAGGAAGCTGAAACAAACCCACCAGAGAGATAGCAAAAACATTAGGTGTGGCCAAACCAACAATTAAACAGAATACGCTCAAACACCGGAAGGCCTAGGAGACCACAGAAAACAACTGTGGTGAAGAACTTCCTCTGGGAGGTTGATGTATCTGTGTCAAAGTCAACAATCAAGACTTCACCGAAGAAAATACAGAGGGTTTACCGCAAGATGTAAACCACCAGTAAGCCTCAAAAACAGGAACACCAGATTAGATTTTTACCAAAAACATCTGAACAGATGATGCAAAGATCTACTTCTACCGGAATGATGGGAAGAGAATTCATAAAGAAGGGAAGTAACTGCACATGATCCAAAACATACCACCTCATCTGTGAAGCATGGTGGAGGGAGTATTATAGTGCGGGCATGTATGGCTGCCAATGGAGCTGGATCTCTTGTATTTATTGATGATGTGACCACTGACAAAAACAGCAGGATAAGTTTTGTAGTGTATATGGCTGATTATCTACTTCAATTCAACCATATGCTTCAGAACTCATTGGACGGTGTGTCACAGTGCAGATGGGCAATGACTCGAAGCATGCTGTAATAGCTACCTTTTTGTTCTGCAGTGGCCAGGTCAATCATCTGACCTCAATCTAATCGAGCATGCATGTTTACTGAAAGCAAAACTGAAGATAAACACCTCAAGAAGAAGGAACTAAAGACAGCTGCAGTAAAGGCTGCAGCTGGTATTAAATATTAAAAATAACAATTTATGATCATTTTACTTTGTCCAAATACTTTGGAGCCCCTTAAAATGTATAAAAACGATTCTAATACCTACACATTTTAGCCAATATGGATGTTAATCCCTCAAATTTAAGCTGAGCTCATATTGATTATTTAATTTCAACTCAAATATGAAAGCTAAACTTAAAATAACTTTTTATTTATGGCTCTGATGTTACTTATTATTTGGGTGGTGGATCATTCTAAGCACTGCAGTCACACTGACGTGGTGGTGGTGTTAGTGTGTGTTGTGCTGGTCTGAGTGGATCAGACACAGCAGTGCTGCTGGAGTTTTTAAACACGTCAGTGTCACTGCTGGACTGAGAATAGTCCACCAACCAAAAATATCCAGCCAGCAGCGTCCTGTGGGCAACGTCAAGGACTAGAGGATGACCAACACAAACTGTGCAGCAGCAGATGAGCTATCGTCTCTGACTTTACTTCTACAAGGTGGACTGACAAGGTAGTAGTGTCTAAAAGAGTGGACAGTGAGTGGACACAGTGTTTAAAAACTCCAGCAGCACTGCTGTGTCTGATCCACTTGCACCAGCACAACACACACTAACACACCACCACCACGTCAGTCTCACTGCAGTGCTGAGAATGATCCACCACCCAAATAGTACCTGCTCTGTGAGGGTCCATGGGGGTCCTGACCACTGAAGAACAGGGTAAAACGGGGCTAATATGAGTATTGAGGCAATGAAGGACAATTAGTCTTGTTGCAATTTTATGAAATTAAAAATATATACATAAAAATGTATTAAATGGAAATAAAAGCTGACATACTTTTTGGAAACGTTGAACGATCAAAAACACAGTTGTACCTGATTGTACCTTTTTAATAAGTGTGTTTTTCCCATCTTTTCTAACAGGAATGTCAGGACATAAAGCCCACCTTTCTCCCTAAAATGGAGCCAAAACAATACCAAGACAAAGGTAGTGGAGGCCAGGAGGGTCAGAACGGTTTGCCAGTAGTTATTAAAACAGAACAAGGTCATCCAGAAGAAAGCAGTTCCTTTGTACACAGTGGTGAAGACCAGCACGTCCTTCAGCGGTCTAAGAATGTGTCCAGCCTGTCATGTGAACCTCCATCAATCTCTCAGGAGACATGGGAGAACCAGCACACACCCAAGGAAGACATATGCAACTCATTAGTCATTATTAAAATGGAACCAGATGAACAAGAACTCAATTCCAGTGGCAGCCATTGTGTCCTTCATGAGCCAAAGAGGGTGTCCAACCTGCTCGTTGTCTGTAAAACTGAACCAGGCTCTGCTTACAGTGATGAAGAGCCACTGCATAATTGTGGAAGTGATCTAAATACTTCAGGTAAGTAAACTGCGTTTGGCCGAACAGCAGGTTTGATGTTCCTGGATGTTTGTTTTTCTACCATGACCCAAAGTTATAATTAATAAGCTTTTAAAGGTGAACATACTGGCAGACCAGCTAAAACATCACTCAAACAAAACTTAATCCTATGCTGGTCAGCTAAGCTGGCCTAACCAGCTGTTTGATTTTGGCTGTTTGTATTCACCTAACCCAGCTGGATGTCCAGTTTGTCAACCACATTGACCGTCTTAGAGCATCTGTATCCAGCTACTAGCAAAAACAGTCCTCTGCCTCTTTTTCAACAGTGTACTAAAACTTTAAATGATGAAAATTAATCAATCAACCTTTATTTCGACTCCTACATTAAGGCCCAATCCAATTGCTTCTTTTTACCCCTACCCCTTGTTTTCGAGTGTCACCCTAACCCCTTGGAACTGAGTTACAAGGGGTAGTGGTTAAAAACTTGCCCTACGAAATGGGACAACCTTCAAATTAAAAAAACAAAAACAAAACATCGCTTCATTAACAACCTACTAGCGCTGCTCTGCAGGCGACCCAGCACGTCTTCAGTGATAGCAGAGAAGGGAAAGTTCAGCTCCTCACTGCTGGGCTTTAGTTACATTTAGCGCATCATATGCCTTCAAAGAGGGGGGATAAGACAATTATTCATTATCACCCACTCCAATTATTTGGTGATACGAAGCTGAAGTCATCTATTCGCTAGCTTCTTGTTCAAATTTTTGGGTTCCACCTTAAATGGTGCAGCAGTTACATTCTGGCGCTCCTGGCGTCAATACTGCCGGACTATTTAAGCTGGAACGGGAAAGTTAGCTAGCTACTGAGAAATTAGCATGCTATTAGTGATTTTTTTTGTGTGCTTGTTATGAAGAAAATTACCATAATACATTTAAGCGACATTAAACTAAGATAATACAATAGTTATCGTAATTTTTTAACAGAGAAAATTCTCACATTTGTGGGTTTCTTTGGTCGCTCGTGCAGCCATCTTGCCGGTTTTTCTTTCTTCTCATAACACTCCATTTGGAGGGCCATGTAGCCCTAACATTTCTCCCTATCCCTCTATCTCAACTAAAACTGGGACACCCTTACCCTAGACGTGAACGCGCAAAACAGAGGGCTAAGGGCTAAGTGGTAGGGGCAAGGGGTGAAATGGGATTGGGCCTAAGGGTGACCCTCATTTACAATGTAGCCGAGTAAATTACAAGGGATTGAAAAAGGTGAAAAGTAAATTTACCAACTAAAACAAATGAAAACCATCAAGACAATATTTATATTTAAAAATAATAATAAAAATAAATAAAAATAAGAAATAACAACTCAAATAGAAAACAGACATAAAAAATCAATAAAATATAAAATAAAAACACATTAAAATGAAGTAAAAGAACCAACTTAGATAGTAAGCAATAAGAAAACTAAAATTTTTAGAAAATCAAATTATTTACTAGAACAGTTAAAGAATTAACATCATTTAAAAGTTGCAATAAAATATTAAAATAAAATTTATTACTATTATTTATTTAATAATAATAAGGAGCAAGGAAAAGTTAAACTCAAACAGTTACTGCTGTCTGAAGGTGGCTAGAGACTTTTAAAATGACTGAGTGAAATAAAAATAAGTGTGATCTCCTCATGTTTTCTAACAGGAATCTCAGGATACAACGTCCTCTCTCTTATCCCTAAAATGGAACCGCTGCCCACATCAGTAGAGCACCAAGAAGATGATGGTGGAGACGAATTTGATAGTAACAACCAGCACACAATCGAAGAGGATGTACACAGTTCACTAGATATTATTAAAATGGAACCAGACGAACAAGAACTGAGTTCCAGTGGTGAAAACCATGTCCTTCATGAGCTGGAGGAGGTGTCCAACCTGCCACCCGTCTGTAAAACTGAACCGAACTCTCTGGGAATGCCTTACCCTGTGTACAGTGATGAAGAGCCACGGCATGAAAACAGTGAAAAAGAGGAAAATGGGGGTTTTAATACTTCAGGTAAATTAAACAATGGATGTTTGTTTTTTCTCCCACAGTGTAAAGTTAGAATACATTAGCTTAAAGAACCCAAAATACCAAAAACAGAGATTTTAATGATGTTAATTTCCAACATTTTCCATTCCAGCTGAGTGCAACCAGCCGTCCGGTGAAGAACACAAAGGACTGAAGTCATATTCTTGTTCCGAGTGCGGGAGAACCTTCTCTCAGTCGTCCTCCTTTTACAGACACATGAGAATCCACACTGGCGAGAGGCCGTTCCAGTGTTCTCAGTGCAATAAGACTTTCATTCAGTCAAATACATTCAAAATCCACCAGAGAATTCATACCGGAGAAAAGCCTTACAAGTGCTCGGACTGTGGGAAGAACTTCAGACGCTTGGATAACCTGAGGATCCATCAGAGAGCTCATACCGGGGAGAAGCCATACAAGTGTTCTCACTGTCCGAAGACTTTTACACGCTTAGATATCCTACAGAACCATGAGAGAATACATACAGGAGAGAAGCCGTATCAGTGTTCTCACTGCTCTAAGACTTTCACACGGTCCAGCGTCTATCAGGTCCATCAGAGAACACACACAGGAGAGAGGCCTTACAAGTGCTCCATCTGTGGGAGGCAGTTTTTAGACCTTTCAAATCTTAGAAACCATGAAAGGACACATACAAAGAAAAGGCCGCACCACTGCTCAGTGTGATAGAACTTTCTTTCAGTTAGCACCTTAGAAAAACCTCATCACTGTTCCATCTGTGGGAAGAACTATGGTGTTATTCTATTCTTTTATACCTTTAGAAGAAAGGCAGACTTTCTCCCATGCCTTCATAGGTGAGGAACCATCATAAGAGCCTGTTATGAAGAAAATCTCTGTCTCACATGGAACTGCAACCACTTTTATCTCTTAAATGTACAACTCCATTTCCAAAAAAGTTGGGACGCTGTGCAAAATGTAAATAAAAACAAAATGCTATGATGTGCAAATCATTTAAACCCTATATTTTATTGAAATAGTACAAAGACATCAAATCAATGTTGAAACTGAGAAATTGTATTGTTTTTTGAAAAATATATGCCCATTTTGAATTTGATGCCAACAACATGTTCCAAAAAAGTTGGGACGGGGGCAACAAAAGGCTGTTAAAGTTGTGTAATGCTAAAAAAACACCTGGTGGTTAATTGGCAACAGGTCAGTAACATGATTGGGTATAAAAAGAGCATTCAGTCTTTCAGAAGTAAAGATGAGGAGGGGCTGACCACTCTGTGAAAGATTGCACGATCAAATAGTGCAACAATTCAAGAAAAATGTTTGTCAACATAAAATAGCAAAGAACTTTTGCTTATCATCATCTATGGTACATAATATCATTAAAATATTCAGAAAAGCTGGAGAAATCTCTGTATTCAAGGGACAAGGCCGTGATCTTTGGGCTCTCAGACAGCACTGCATTAAAAACAGACATGATTCTGTAGTGGAAATCACTGCATGGCCTCAGAAACACTTCTGAAAACACTGTCTGTGAAAACAGTTCGTCGCTGTATCCAAAAATGCAAGTTAAAACTCATATATAAAATCATATATAAACAGGATCCAGAAATGCTACCACTTTCTCTAAGCCCGAGTCCAACAAATTAAAATTTTTAATTGTTTTTGGAAATCATGGACACTGTATCCTCTGGGCTAAAGACCACTCAGCTTGTTATCAGTGCTATCAGCTGCCGAGCAGCTGAAATCCTATATCAAACAAGAACAGGAAAACATTTCACTTTCAAAACTACAGCAAATGGACTCCTCAGTTCCCAAATGCTTACAGAATGTTGTTAAAAGCAGAGGTGATGAAACACAGTGGTGAACATGCCCCCGTCCCAACTTTCAGAATGTGTTGTTGGCATCAAATTCAAAATGGGCATATATTTTTGAAAAAAAAGTTGCTCAGTTTCAGCATTTGATAGGTTGTCTTTGTAGTGTTTTCCTTTAAAAATATGGTTTACATGATTTGTGTATCATTACATTCTATTTTTATTTACATTCTGCACAGGGTCCCAACTTTTTTGGAAATGGGGTGGTATACCACAGGCTGGCAGTGACTCAAAAAAATTTTGGGCAAATTTAAAGATGCAGTGTGTAAGATTTTGAAGGATCTATTAGCAAAAATGGAGTATAGTACAAATTCATGTTTTCTTTAGCATATAATCACCTGTAACTAGAAATCATTGTGTTTTCGTGAGCTTAGAATAAGCCTTTCATATCTACATAGGAGCAGGTTCTCTTCCACCCTAGGCCACCCTTTTGCGCCTGTTTCTACAGTAGCCCAGAACAGACAGACCAAACACTGGCTCTAGAGAGTGTCTTTCACACAGCTTGAATTTGGTGACTGGTTGGAAGACGTAGAAAGAAGAAGCAGTGGTTCCTGCCGGTGCTGGCTGATCATTTTGTGTTGTGAGAAGTTTAAGGAACCCACTTTTTGACAAATGGAGGATCAGACATATTATTTAGCACAAAAAAAGTAAGTCAGGCCAAATCCTCGTTGTCAAAGAAGTGAAAACATGAAGAAGCAAAACAAAAATCGGGACAGGCGACAGCAGAAAACCTGACAGCCACCATTGGTTCTACTACATGCTTGGAAAAGGAGAGGTGAGGGAGGGTGATTTGATTGGTTACAGTCTGCAACCTCACCACTACATGCCACTAAATATTGCACGCTGCACCTTTAAAAGGTAAACCATTCTTACTGAAACCTCTGACTATATAGTCACTAAATTTATCAAGATTGAATCCAGGTTTCATCAACATGACATTGATGAAAGCTGAGTTGGCATACCTTTACAATCAAACTCAGAAGCTGATTGATCAGCTGATTGAACAGCAATATGCACCAATATACCTTCATATACACATTGACCCCATTCACACCTGGTCACTTCATGCGTCTTGAATATCAGGATTATATCTGAATAAGGCCAAGTCACATAAAAATGCAAGTGTTGCAAACAGATTCAAATCTGACTACTCACTTCAGGAGGTGGACAGAGACACATTTGAGCCACGTTTTAGTGGTGTACACACATCTGTCTCTCCAAGACACATTCAACAATCAAAATCCTTCCCAGTGCAACTGAAACCTCCCCCAGTGCAACGGAACCCCCTCCCAGGGCAACCGAAACTCCTCTCAGTGCAACTGAAACCCCTCCCAGTGAAACTGAAACTCCTCCCAGTGCAACAAAAACTCCTCTCTATGCAGTTCATCACTGGGCACGTGACCCATGTCTGTGAGGAAGATGATCATGGATGACGGTCATGGTTGGAGACCAGATGAAACGAAATGCGTAATAGCAACATGGACTGACATTGAACAAACCAAACTGCAGACAAAGAGGCTAACAGATAAACAGTTGGTAATTGGTTGCTGTGTAACGAATGCATTTGCATATTCCATCCAAAACAGCAATCAGATTTCAGTCCAACTAACCGGAGACAAATTTGACCACCAAATGTAAATGCATGTGGCTAAAATCTTATCAGAATACAATCCAGATACTGGACACAGGAAGTGACCGGGTGTAAACAGGGTGCTGTCCATTAAAAGGAGAGCACTCAGCAGTGCCATGAGCCGTCCACAATAAAAAACACCACTCATTAATGGAATACAGTACTGTAACACTGCTACATATGGCTGATCCTCCTCTGTTTGCTTATACTTACCCCACTCCCCTGAGGCAACCCTGTCTGCTGAAGAACTAAGAGATCCATAGAGGAATCAAGGAGGAGATGGAGAGTGGGCAGGGTGTGAAAACTTTGTCACAGATTATCATAGAGAGAAATGGGAACATGGGAGGTTATCTAGAACAGAAGAAGGGTTCCCCCCAGGCGTTAGTTAATGCTTTTCTATGCATATATGCATATACAGTATGGTTACTGCATGCCTGACATTTTATACGAGTTATTCTCTCAGCTTCACTGTAATGAGTTTATATATTTGTACATGCTTTTTTACACGATTAGTAAAATGTTTAACTTATACATGTTAACATTTGATATGACAACAAACAGATCACTATGTATGGCCTACGTCTTCCATTTGTTTTCATTTTTTTACATAGATTACAAGAGATATAATGGAATATACTTAATTGCACTACTCTTTTGTAACTAATAAAGTTTTAAATAACACTTTTCAGTCACTTTTAGCATTTTTAATTGAATCGTTACCACTTTGTGGGTTATACAGACGTAACAAGCATCAGTTGCGACCCCTTTACAACCATTTAACTCCTGTTTTTTTTTCTGTTTATTGGCTTAAATCCATAAAGGGTTGTTAAAATAGGATGTTTGGACTGAACCCTCCTGGTATGTTTCAGGTCAGTGTGATGTGAACTGAAGGGTCAGTTTGACCCGGAACAGAAGAGATGTTTGTATTAATCAACATTCCCCCATGACAGAAAATGTCAAAATGTTGAAAGAGTCTAAATAAGAATAAATAAAACGTGTTGAATGTCTAGCTTTTGCCAATGTACCGAAAAAAACAGTTTGAAAATCTCAATTGATTGATATTAGTTGAGCTAAAGACAATGTTTATGGAGAAATATGTATTTTTTTAACTACTTTCAGGTGGTTAAAAATGCAGCGGGTCAGTTTGACTTAGGAATATTACTGCTGTTCCTCACATCAAACATAACAGGAGGGTCAATCACGACTTGGGTGTAAATACTCACAAATTAAAGCTGAAAGTGCACTTTGAGCTCATTTTCATGATCTAATTTAAATGCATTGTGGTAGATTCTAAAGATTCTAACAGTAACAACACTGAATGTCTGTGGACCTGACGGTGTGTGATTGATCTGAAGGACCATGACTGGATGTCTCTGACATCACTGCTCCATTCTGAACCGGGCACAGTTCCCTCAAAAACAAAGTTTTCCCCTTAAGTACGAACCCTAAGGGGGTCTTCCATCACCAAAGGGAATTCGTTAAGGGTGTTGCATAAATTCCCTCAGACATTTCTCTCAGCTCAGGGAAGCAGTGATGGGCATCCTGGCTCTTTTCAGAGAGTCAGATCAGTTGGCTTGGCTCACGGTGAAGAGCTGACTCCCTCTGCTCCCAAACGGCTCTTCATTCAGTAGCCAAGTTAGTGATACTCTCCACTACTTAATTGTTAGTTAATCTTTAGTCTTTAATCGCTGCTGTCCGAAGAAAACCTTGTGTCTCCATTTTTGTCGTTTTTTAGTTTTTGATATATTTTGAAAATGCCTGTTGTTCTTGAAATTGTGTGTAAATATAATGAAGAACAGACTAAAAGAAACGCCCCAAAATGACTTGGAAGAAAGTCTGGTTCCATTGACTTACATTATAAGTAAAGTGGTGGGCCTGTTCAGGTGAGGGTTCAGTTCGCCAGTCCCCCTAGCCCCCTTCCCCCCGAGCTGAAGGACCGGGCAGCGGGCAGAACAAACCCGACACAGAACTGTTTTAATGTGAAACCAGCTCATCAGAAACGGCGTGTTTGGACTCAGAACCCTCACAGAACCCTGACAGTCACAGAAACGCCCCCAGCTTCGCTCAAAGGGGGGTTTAACTTAGAATCGCTTCAGTTTGGAGGAACCAGTGAGTGACAGCTGGAGTCTCCGCCCCCCTCCCCGCTCACCACAACCACGTGACCGCGCTCCCGGAACTATTTCACCACGGTGGCTCTCGGCTTCTGGTTCACCAGCGGCGTTTATCGGTCTCTATGGCTACGTTACTGCGCGACGTCATCACGGAGATGCGCGCGCAACTAGGGGGCAACTGTCAGCGATGACGAGGAGCTGCTGCGCGGTGAACTGCACCAACCGCAGCCAGGACGGCTGGAGGATGTTTAACATCCCGAGGGGATCACACCCCTTTGCCAAGAACCGCAGGAGGCTGTGGCTCCAGGCCATCAGGAGGGCGGACTGGGGTCCTGAGGGTCCCAAAGGCAGCGCAAGTCTATGCAGCACCCACTTCGTGTCCGGTACGCCCCTGTTTCTGTCTGCCAGCGTTAGCCGGCTGAGTGAGTTAGCACTGTGTGTGACCCAGATCGGTGATAGAGGAAGTAAATAATGTGGATTTTGGTCAGAACACTCTCAAAAAAGAGGGTTCTCCAAGGGTTCTGTAGGAAAGACAGTGGTTCTGTATGGAACCATGAACACTCAAAGAACCCTTTGCCTTTTTGAATGGTTGTTGGCATGTTAAAATCGTTCTTCAGATTGCTTGATGTGGTGTATACGGTTCTCCATAGCACCAAAAATAGTTCTTCTCTTGTAACTAATGTTAACTAAGGACTTAGAGAAGACTTAATGCCGAAACCTAAGTATAAACTTACACAAACCTGGGGCCAGTTTACAGAAACTTCTTACCTCTGAAATATTATTTGCTTAGTCACCATGACAACCATGAACTTCTTAAGTTCATAATCTTATCATTAACTCCAGATAAGAAAACTGTCTTACACAAACATCATAACTAGACTTTGGCCCAATCCCATTTCTTCTTTTTACCCCTACCCCTAGTTTTCGAGCGTCACCCTAACCCCTTGGAACTGAGTTACAGGGTAGTGGTTGAAATCTTCCCTCTGAAATGGGACCCTCAAATAAAAAGAGCATAACTTCATTAACAGCTACTAGCACTGCTCTGTAGGCGACGCTGCCAGTCTGCAGTGACAGCAGAGGAGGGTAAAGTTCAGCTCCTCACTGCTGGGTTTAGTTACATTTAGGGCATCATATGCCCTCAAAGAGGGGGGCAATTATTTATTATCGCCCACTTCTAATTCTTCAGTGATATGAAGCTGAAGTCAGATATTCACCAGATTCTTGTTTAAATTTTCCTGTTCCACCTTAAATGGAGCAGCAGTTACATTCTGGTGCTTCAGGTGTCAGAACTGCTGGACTATTGAAGGTGGAACGGGAAAATTTGCTGGCTAGCTACCGATACATCAGCATGCTATTAGCGATTTTTTATGCTTGTTATGAAGAAAAGAACCATAATACACTGAAACGACATTAAACTATAATCATACAATGGTTATCTTAATTTTTAACTGAGAAAATTCTCACATTTGTAGTATTTCTTTGGTCTCTTGTTCAGCCGCCTTGCCAGTTTTACTCATAACACTCTGTTTGGAGTGTCTGAAAAACCTCTGTTTGGAGGGTCACGTAGCCCCAACACTTCGCCCTCCCCCTCTATCTCAACAAGAATCGGGACACCCTACCCTAGACTGCACAAAACAGAAGGCTAAGGGCAAAGTGGTAGGGGCGAGAGGTGAAATGGGATTGGGCCTAAATCTCCTAAATACTGTCATAACTTTAGGATGAACCCCAACAGAGTCCTCACTTCTGTTTAAGGTCTGTTTCTATGGTTGTTAGGCAGCTGTGTCAGGCAGCATAGTTCACTACCAGCATAATGAGCTCCATTTATTTCTACTGTAAAACGCTGCTTTCACTGTGAGATGATTTTTCTTTTCTAACTCTGCGTTTTAAAGATCTCAGACGCTGCAGACTCGATCTCCACCGCCCCTCTGATCACCTTCGTGTGTTAATGTTGATGATGAAATATTACAGTGATGGTGGTGAATAATGAGGAGACGGAGCTGAACGTGTGTCTGTTTATTAGGAGGAGTAACGTTAGCGTGCTCGGCTAAAGCGTTTGGGAAATGGAGACTGAAACTGGGGAGCGGCGATTCTGATAAACAGCAGGGGGCGCTCTCACAGTATTCACTACTTACAGTTTATCACACTTTAGTTCTGTTTGACCTTTTTTACATCAGTAACGCTAGCTAGCTGTCTGGCTAACTAGCTGTCTGGCTAACTAGCTTGATTACTTTGACTACATGTTTCATTTCAGCTGTGCATGTATGGTCGGTTGCTGCGTAACAGACATGGCAGTTGATTGTCGACTTGCACACTGATGTTGGTTAAACAATCAGCTGAATTAATCTTTCTCTTTGTCTTCTCAGGAGAACCTTCAATGGACTGTGATAGTCCAGATTTTGTACCGTCCATCTTTTCTCACAGCACCCGAGATGGAACAGCAAAGACGGCAAGGTCTGTGTCATGAGTACACTCAATGGTCACTTTATTAGGAAAACCTACCTCGTATCTATACTCTCTGTCCATTCTGTCAGCTCCACAGATCATATAGTTTCACTCTGTAGAAGACTAGAAGACCGGAGAAGACTTTAGCTAACAAGCTAACCTTTTCAACTCCTTGAGACCATCGGTGGTTCCAAAACGCACTTCGTCATATTCTTCATAACTTTCATATTTCATAAGCTACATTCAAAAGGTGGGTGTCGTATGAGAGCTGTAACTGTCTTCTTTCTAGTCAAATAGATGGGTATTGTAATTTTAAACCTTATAATAAAAGAAGCTGAGCTCACAATTTTTCTACTTAAAGTCGACCCATTTTTCCACAAATCTGGGCTATAAACTATAAACAGATGGCGTCTCTTCAGTGATCTGCTCTGTAAAAAATATTCTTATAAAATAATACAAAGAGCGTCTAAGATTTTTGGCTTTCAGCAGTAAATTGTAAGCATATAGCGATATGTGTGTATCATAAAACACATTTTCTGTTAATTTGAGGGGAGCTTTTACAAAAAAATAAATAAATAAAATAAAAATGAACATTTATTTCATGCAGTTACTGAATAATTTGCCTTACGATTTGGGCATGTAAATTCAGATGGACAAACCAAAATATACCCTGGTCAACAAGAGGCTAACATTAAAAGAAAGACGTTTGGTAAGGTTAACGTTACATTCATTTTCTGGCTAACCTGGATACGTTTAGCTTCTTTAACTGAAAAGGACAAACGTAGTAAAATAAATTAAAAATATCACTCTTACTGCCTAAAGTCAGCCTCCTGTGCGGCAGCTACTTATTCGAATTATCCGTTCCACCTTAAATGGCGCCACAGCTGCATCCTGGTACCTGCACAGGCGCCGGAGTGAGGCGTTATTTAAGGTGGAACGGAAAGTTCGAAAAACAAGCTAGCTTTAGCTTCCTGGCGGTTATCGTATTAATCCCCGGGTTAAACGAGTTGACTCACCGCCGTAAACCTTAGTCTCAAATTCAGACCCTTGTCAGAAAAGAAGGTAAAAGAAGAAAAAAAAAAGAAAAAAGAATGAAAAAACAAACCAAAACAAAAAGGCCTGCTGCTGTTTAAGTTGCCATGGTTACTGCGTCACTGCGCGCTCTGTCCTGAATAGGAGGAAAAGTGGCGTTTTTGTAGTTTTTTAGCTCAGATGTGAAGGTAGAGTTCACCGTTTTTAGTTTCTAGATAAATAATAATAATAATAATAATAATGAACAATATCTGCTTCATAAATCTTTACATCGCTGGTTTAATAAGGAGCTTGAATAATATTACATATTCACTGTAATTATTTAATGAGATATGTATTAAGAATAAGTCTTTCTTTGGTTTCATGGAACAAGAAAAAATAAATTAATTAAAAAAAAAAATCCACAGTATTAGAGTAACTTTGTCTGTAATGGTGTTTTCATAAAGTGAAAAAAATCCCGATATGTACTCTTTCATAAATGCCCACAAAAATGTGGAAAAATACTTTAATTGGTCTTAAAAATAAAATAAAATGCAATAAAAAACAGAAAATAACGGTTTTGAAATGAAGGAACGCTTAGCCCCGCCCACACCGTAGGACGCACCGTCGCGTCAGCAGTTCGGAGGACCAATCACAAGCCAGTTCCGACTACGCGCTTTGAGTGACGCGCGCCTCCACCAATCAGATGAGGGGTTCTGGGCCGCCGCTCCACAGACCGACACACGGAGCGTTGGAGGCGGATTGTTGTTGAAACAGCGCTAATAGAGCCGGACAGCGGGTCTCGGGCTGGACTCTGAGCAGCTGAGCTCAGGTCTGCGGTCAGCAGAGCGATGAGGAGCTCACTTTATAGAGATCTGAGCGCTGAGGAGGAGATTCTCCCTCAGCGCTGATGTTTCTCGTCACCACCTGATCGTGTTCGGCTGCGTTGGTCCAGATTTGGAGCCGCTCTGTAAGTTGACGCTGGACAGTCCAGCTGGTTCGGCCACCATAAGAGCGCTAGTTTCGCTCTGAGGGTCTTTCTTTCTGTCCAGGATGAAAAAGAAAAGGATGGAGCTTCATCCGTCTGGAGCCCCGAGCAGCGAGGCGGGCGGATCTACTGTCTCTATGGAGGAGCCTATAAATCAGAGAGGGGCTCAGAATCACTGGACTGAGGGGGCTTCATCTGAGGAGACCCTGACCCTGAAGGAAGAGGAGGAGGAAGAGGAAGAGGAGGTCTGTAGAGAACTTTACTTTTTCACACTTCCACACTGTTAAAGGGCAACTCCACCCAATTATGATAATTTCCACATAATAAAATCACTCAGAACTGTTCACAGTGGTGGTGATAGGAACCAGACGTCCACCTCTAAAAGCTCCCGCACAGAAAGTTACTACATAAAATGGTTATGAATTCACTGCCTGATGACTGAGACATTTATTTACGAGAGTTTTCTGATAAAATTTTAAAAACGTATTGTAATCAATTTATTTCAATACATTCATGGTGGAGGGATACATGCAGAGCACTGCAAGGCAAAACAGTCCCCAAAGAAAACATATTTTTTCAGATCTACTATTATTTTACCATCATCAACATTATTGTAAAAATGCAGGAGGCTTGTGTAGGTTCACTGGTGGTTTTGGATAGTAAATAAAATGGCTATATTTGTGTTGTAGTCATGGCGACCCCTGGTTCCTGTCACCACCACTGTGAAGAAATCTGAACCATTTCACACCAAACCACTCTGAATCACTCTTCATCATAAAAATGCAGCTCAAAGTGCCTCACGATACAAAGTAAAAACAACAGAGGAAGAAAAGAAAAGATAATCGAAAATAAAATAAACAAATAATAAATAGCAGAAAATGGTATATATTAATTATAATTACAAAAATAAAGATACAATTAAAAGTGCTACTAACAAGAAAGTAAAAGTAATATTCCAGTAAAAACCAAAGGAAACAATAAAAAAAACTAGTTAAATGCTAAAGTAAAAAAATGTTTTTTTAACTGTTTTTTAAAATCAATGAGTGTGATTACATGCACTTAATAATCTGTTAACTGCAGAAAATCTGATTTTGTCAGTAATCTGATCAACGTGTTTACATGCACTTGAGTAATCAGATAATGGGAAAACTCCACGTCTACATGAGTCAGACAGTAATCAGATTTCTGCTTTACAACCAGCCAATAAACTCACAGAAGAAGACGTGACGTAAACATAATATTAAACTCAAACTTCATGCCGCGGCTTTCTTTTTAAAACTTTGCGCCAGTTTACCTGAAAATATGAACATACATCATCTAGAAGATGAAGAAAATTTAAATCCTTTATTTCGTCAAGCATGTAATTGGTTTCAGCGTCGCTCAAAAAGTGTTTTGCTGCGTCTCGCGGTGCCACTGTCTGTTTTCGCACATGCTCAGACTGAGAAATCCGAAAGAAATCAGAGTAAGAGTTTACAGCACTGAGAAATCTGATTACTGAGCTAAAATCCAGCCTCTTTATCAGATTTGTTAATCAGATTTCTAGACCTTACTCTGATCTAAGAAATCAGAGTGCGCTATTTACATGACCGTTTGAATAATCAGGTAAGTGCAGAAATCTGATTATGATCGGATTATCGGATTACTGCATGGCTCTCCCTGTTTGCCCCCTACACACACACACAGCTGGTGTTTGTGGCCAAAAGGCTTTATCTTGGTCCAGTTTCTTGAATCTGAATGTAGGCAGCATCTTGCAATATTTTTACAGTTGGTTTATAATTAAGCCAAGACTGAAATGGATTTTTAATGGTGTAAGACCATTGATGGCAGTTTAGTCCAAGACTAGGCTTACAAAACCAGTCCTTAAACTGACATCCGCAGAACTCCAGCTGTGATCTTATGACTCCTCTGTGCCTCTTGACTCTTCTTGTTGATAGCATATACAGTGGTGCTTGAAAGTTTATGAACCCATTTTCTGTATTTCTGCATAAATTTGATCTAAAACTTCATCAGATTTTCACACAAGTCCTAAAAGGATTTTCAGGTTACAGACAGATGTTCTGATGTTTTCCTTTAGGATTTCCTGGTATAATTCAGAGTTCAGTGTTCCATCAATGATGGCAAGCTGTCCTGGCCCAGATGCAGCACAACAGGCCCAAGCATGATACTACCACCACCGTGTTTCACAGATGGGATAAGGTTTTTATGTTGGAATGCAGTGTTTTCCTTTCTCCAAACATAACGCTTCTCATTTAAACCAGAAAGATCTATGTTGGTCTCATCCATCCACAAAACATCATTTCAGTAGCCTTCTGGTTTGTCCATGTGATCCTTAGAAAACTGCAAACAGGCAGCAAAGTTCTTTTTGGAGAGCAGCGGCATCTCCTTGCAACACTGCCTTGCACACCATTGTTGTTCAGTGTTCTCCTGATGGTGGACCCATGAACATTATCATTAGACTCTGTGAGACAGGCCTTTAGTTGATTAGAAGTTACTCTGGGTTCCTTTGTGGCCTCGTAACCTATAACACGCCTTGCTCTTGGTGTGATCTTTGTTGGTCATTCACTCCTGGGAAGCGTAACAATGGTGCTAAATTTCCTCCATTTGTACACAGACTGTCTGACTCTGATTGGTGGAGTCCAAACTCTATAAAGATGGTTTTGTAACCTTTTCCAGCCTGATGAGCATCAGCAGCTCTTCTTCTGAGGTCCTCAGAAATCTCCTTTGTTTGTGTCATGATGCACTTCCACAAACGTGCTGTGAAGATCAGACTGTGATAGATCCCTTTTCTTTAAATAAAACAGGGTGGTCACTCACACCTGATTGCCATTCCATTGACTGAAAACACCTTCAAATTATCTGTTAATCCTAAAGGTTCACATACTTTTGCCTGTAATATTGGATCATTTTCCTCGATAAATAAATGACCAAGTCTAATATTTTTGTCTCATTTGTTTGATTTGGTTCTCTTTTTCTGCTGTTTGGTATGAAAATCGAATGAAGTTTTAGGTCAAATTTTTGCAGAAATATAGAAAATTTTAAAGGGTTCACAAACTTTCAAGCACCATTGAAAGTTGGTGAACCCAGTTTAATGAAATTCTAAATTATAAACATATCAGAAATGAAGCAGTAGAAATAAAAGCAGACATACTTTCTTCATGTTGTCTTGATCTTTTGTTGTATTAATTCCATGCAGCAAAAGTCTGCCTCTTTTTGAAGTGGTAAAATTGTGGAAACCTTGAAGATTAAGAAACACAAAGATTGAACCCTTTTTTTTTATACGTGTGATCTTCCCATGTTTTCTAACAGGAATGTCAGGACATAAAGCCCACCTTTCTTCCTAAAATGGAACCAATGCAACACCAAAACGAAGGTGATGGAGGCCAGGAGGGTCTGAACGGTTTGTCGGTAGTTATTAAAACAGAACCAGGTCATCCAGAAGAAAGCAGTTCCTTTGTACACAGTGGTGAAGATCAGGATGTGTCCGGTCTGTCCCCTTTTTGTGAACTTCCATCAATTTCTGAGACATGGGAGAACCAGCACACACTCGAGGAGGATGTACGCAGTTCACTAATTATTATTAAAGTGGAACCAGATGAACAAGAACTGAGTTCCAGTGACAACTATCATGTCTTTCATGAGCCGGAGGGGGTGTCCAGCCTGCCAACTGTCTATAAAACTGAACGAGGCTCTGCTTACAGTGACAAAGAGCCACTGCATAATTATGGAAAAGAGGACAATGAGGGTCTTAATACTCCAGGTAAGTAAACAGAACAACACATCTTATATTACTGGATGTTTCTACCATATAGAATAGATTAATAACCCTAAAATGCCAAAAATGTGCTTTAAATGAAATTAATTTTTACCATTTTCCATTCCAGCTGAGTGCAGCCAGCCGCCTGTGGAAGGACACAAAGGACTGAAGTCATATCCCTGTTCCGAGTGCGGGAGAACCTTCTCTCAGTCGTCCTCCTTTTACAGACACATGAGAATCCACACTGGCGAGAGGCCGTTCCAGTGCTCTCAGTGCAATAAGACTTTCGTTCAGTCAAACACGTTCAAAATCCACCAGAGAATTCATACTGGAGAAAAGCCTTACAAGTGCTCGGACTGCGGAAAGAACTTCAAGCGGTTAGATAGTCTGAGGATCCACCAGAGAACTCATACCGGGGAGAAGCCGTACAAGTGTTCTCACTGTCCGAAGACCTTTACACGCTTAGACATCCTACAGAACCACGAGAGAATACATACCGGAGAGAAGCCGTATCAGTGTTCTCACTGCTCTAAGACTTTCACACGGTCCAGCGTCTATCAGGTCCATCAGAGAACGCACACAGGAGAGAGGCCTTACAAGTGCTCGGTGTGTGAAAAGCAGTTTCTAGACCTTTCGAATCTCAGAAACCACCAGAGGAAACACACGGAAGAGAGGCCGTATCGGTGCTCTCAGTGTGATAGAACTTTCATTCAGTTAGCTCACCTTACAAGCCACCGGAGAACACACACTGGAGAGAAACCCTATCACTGTTCCATCTGTGGAAAGAGCTACGGTGCGTCGTATACACTTCTTTGCCATCTGAGGAAACACAAGCTTTCTCCTGCATCACCATAGATGAAGAGCTGTCACAAGAACCTTGTGCATTTTCATTTGAAATGAATAGACGGTATCCCAGGAGACATGATAAGATCATGTGTTGAGGATTTGGAGTGGGATCTCACAGAGAACTGGCACCACTTTTAACTCTGACACCACATTGGCATTGACTTTATTTACACTTCTACCTTTTTTGGTTTTCGAACAATTGTTAGCAATAAAATATAACAATATATTTGTGTCTATCAATATGTGTTGTACGTGCTGGGGTGCTAACACCCTGAGGTATGCGCTCTTAAGAAAGATGGTTCGTCAAAGGGTTCTTCGGTAAAGACAGTGGTTCTACGTAGAACCATGAACACTGAAAGAGCCATTTGCATGCTTAACGGCATTCTTTGCGTGGTGAAATGGTGCATCAGATTAATGGAGAACGTTCTGTATAAAAGCTTTTTGAAAAAAGTTTTTTTGTCATTATAAGCTCAACATCGTAACATTAGCAGAACCAATTTTGGTGCTATATAGAACCCTTTTCAAATAGGTTCTGTATAGAACCATATGCAACACATTTTCCATCAATCTGAAGAACGATTTCACCATGCAGGGAATCCTGTGTTCACTTTTAAAATAATGACGGTTCTTTAGTAAAGTGAATGGTTCTGTTTAGAACCATGAGTTCTATACAAAACCATTTCATGCCTAAATGTTTTTTTCATGGTGACATAGTTCTTCAGATTGACGGAGAATATTTTGTGTATGGTTCTATATAGAACCTTTTTGAGTAGGGTTCTATGTAGCACAAAAAAGGGTTCCTCTACTGTAACAGTCATATCAGTTATTGCACTTATGCATGGGTTCTCTTTTCAGATTCTCTATAATGAGTTTTCATATATCTTAATATGTTTATTGTTTGTTTCTAAATGTCTAGAACACTACTACACATGGCAAAATTTGATAGAACTACACAGAACCTCTTTTGTGTTCTCTTGTGTTTACTAGCGAAATGTATTCAATCTTTCTCCTTTGTCTTTTATTTTGTTTCAGATATATATACATACAGTTCCGGCAACGCAAGCTGATTGGTTGAGAAGCGTTCTAACTGTGCTGTTATTTCACCATAACATCACAGCTTTTTCACAAACACTGCATTACTCTGCTGAGAAGCCGTTGCTAAGCAACGACTTTGACAGCTGTAGGAGACGCTCAAGCTATTTGAACCTTTTTACTTCTTACTTTGCCACAAACAGAAAATGGACACTTTTAAGATCACATTTGGCCGACAGCCGATTTGGTCAGACTCTGAAGATGAGACGACACTAAATTCCCAAATTGTCATCACCACTGAGCAGCTTTTCAGTCGGCAGCTGTGACAGAAGAACAGCTAAACAACCTGGAATCAGCCAGAAATGAACCCAATACCATTCGCCAAACTAAATGGGCTGTAAGATGCTTTACAGACTGGCTGGAACAAAACAACATTAATATTGATCTGGCAAAAAATGACAAAACTGAGCTGAACTTGATATTGGGTCAGTTTTATGTCTCAGTCTGATTTGGTCAGACCCTGAAGATCAGACTACACATTTGGCGAATAGTATTGGGTTAATTTCTGGCTGATTCCACGTTGTTTAGCTGTTCTTCTGTCACAGCTGCCGACTGAAAAGCTGCTCAGTGGTGATCACAGTTTGGGAATTTAGGGTAAGAAGCTGGAGAACGAACTGCCGACTGAGCAGCGAGTGAGTGGAGTTCGTTACTCTGACGTAGCAACAAGCTGCTTGTTAAGGAACTATAATTTGGTGAAGGAACTGCGAACATTAAAACATATTAAACGCCGCGTTCACGGCCCAGTTTATTAATTTTTTACTTTATTTATTTAACTTGTATTAAAGCAATAGGACACTCGAGGACTGTGTTATCGCCAATATTTCGAGATAACACACTTCCTCTCATGTTCTGTTGCTTAAATTAAATACAGGAGAACAACCTGAATATAGTTAAACACATTACTTTATTATAACCAATAAAGTTTTATATAAAACACTCTTCAGTTATCATTGCTTTGTGTGTGGTACAGACGTAACCAGCATCGGTTCCCACCTGGTTATGCTTCGTTATTAGCATAACAGAGATCCCCACTCAATCACTGTCTGTGCACTTTTTGAACGTTGGAGGAATTTTGGAGAACCAGCCCACCACTGAAAACGATACAACCAGGAGATAAACATTTTTCTTTTCTCTCTTTATTGGTGGTTTAGTAAAGGGAATGGTTCTGTTTAGAACCATGACTTCTATATAAAACCATTTGCATGCTTAAATGGTTCTTCGCATGGTGAAGTCGTTCTTCAGATTAATGGTGAATGTGTTATATATATATATATATATATATATATATATATATATATATATATATATATATATGTATAGTTTAGTTCTACATAGGACCTTTTTGAAAAGGGTTCTATATAGAATCAGAAAGGCTCTTCTATTGTCAAGCTTATGTACAACAGAAGATCCATTTTTGGTGCTCTCTAGAACTATACACAACACATTCTCCATCAATCTGAAGAACCATTTCACCATTCAAAGAACACTTTAGGCATGCAAATAGAACCATTGTCTTTAATAACCCTTGAAGAACCATCGTTCATTAAAAAATATACAATGTTAAAATAAGACAAACACTGTAAACACTACAATAAAACAGTGCTAAGTTAATGTTAATTAGTCACAGTCTGTTCATTGAGAATTTAAAAATCATTTGGTACACTTAAAAAGATGGTTCTTTAAGGGTTCTTTAGTAAAGAAACTGGTTCTATATAGAACTATGAACACTCAAAGAACACTTGGCATGGTTAAAGGATTCTTTGCATGGTGAAATGGTTTTTCAGATTGATGTAGAATGTGCTCTGATGGTTCTTTACAGAACCCTTTTTGAAAATTGTTCTATATAGCACTAAAAATGGCTCCACTATTGTTACAAGCCAAAAAAAACAATTTTGTACTTTATAGAAGCCTTGTGGCTAAAAGGGTTCCACTATTGTTACAAGCCAAAGAACCCTTTTTGCTAAGAGTGTAGTAATGAAGATGCTTCTGAATAGCACCAAAAGGGTTTCTTCTATTGTAACAAGCATGGCATCATAACAATAGAAGAACCTTTTTGTGGTGCAATATAGAACCCTTTTCAAAAAGGTTCTATATAGAACCATCTACAGCACATCCTCTGTCAATCTGAAGAACCCTTTCACCATGCAAAGAACCCTTATAATAATGCGAAGGGTTCTTTGAGTGTTAATGATTGTTTATAGAACCATTTTCTTTATTAAAGAACCCTTGAAGAACCATCTTTTTGAAGAGTGTGCATAAACCACAAAAGCTCTACAGCACAATCTGTATTGATCTTTTAGAACATTAAAAAAATGAAACAAATTTTAAAATTTACATTATTCCACATGTTTATGTCATCGAGTCAGCAGTAATATGTATCAAAAGTGAAATCAGATATTAAAGTGTATTACTGTACATTCAGGTTCATAAATATTTGGATGCCGGTGTCATTTTAGCCGGCTGACGCAGCATATTGAAGTTAAAATTATATAATAAATAATATGAGCTCACCGTTCAAAGTGGTGTTTACAGCCAAACAGGTGAACAGTGTAGAAATTACGGCCACTTTCATACATAGTCCCCCGTTTTTAGGGGCTCAAAGTTAATCGGACAGTTTCTTTGGTACTTCAGTGTTTTAAGTAGCTCATAAAAATGTAAATATCACGTTATATTAAAGCAGGGTTGTCGCTATTTTGTGAGTTATTCGGGATTTGTATTAAATTCCATTAAAATGCGTTAAAATAACCATAAAATAAAAACAGAATATAACGGTTTGAAAGTGAACAAACGCTTAGCCCCGCCCACAGCGTAGGAAACAGCGCCACGTCAGCAGTCCTGAAGACCTATCACAGGCCAATTCCGCATACGCGCTTTGATTGACGCGCGCCTCGACCAATCAGATGAGGAGTTCTGGGCCGCCGCTCCACAGACCGACACACGGAGCGTTGGAGGCGGATTGTTGTTGAAACAGCGCTAATAGAGCCGCACAGCGGGTCTCGGGCTGGACTCTGAGCAGCTGAGCTCAGGTCTGCGGTCAGCAGAGCGATGAGGAGCTCACTTTATAGAGACCTGAGCGCTGAGGAGGAGATTCTCCCTCAGCACTGATGTTTCTCGTAACCACCTGATCGTGTTCGGCTGCGTTGGTCCAGATTTGGAACCGCTCTGTAAGTTGACGCTGGACAGTCCAGCTGGTTCGGCCACCATAAGAGCGCTAGTTTCGCTCTGAGGGGCTTTCTTTCTGTCCAGGATGACGAAAAAGAAGAGAAGGATGGAGCTTCATCCGTCTGGAGCCCCGAGCAGCGAGGCGGGGGGATCTACTGTCTCTATGGAGGAGCCTGTAAATCAGAGAGGGGCTCAGAATCACTGGACTGAGGGGGCTTCATCTGAGGAGACCCTGATCCTGAAGGAGGAGGAGGAGGAAGAGGAAGAGGAGGAGGAGGAGGAGGAGGTCTGTAGAGAACTTTACCTTTTTTCTAGTGTACACTCTTAAAAAAGATGTTTTTTTAGTAAAGAGTGTGGTTCTATATAGAACCATGAATACTCAAAGCACCGTCTGCATGCTTGAAGGGTTCTTTGCATGGTGAAATGGTTCTTCAGATTGATGTAGAATGTGTTGTATATGGTTCTGTATAGCACCAAAAAGGGTTCTGCTGATGTGACTGTCAAGCATTTCACCCTTTTTTGATACTATATAGAACCCTTTTCAAAAAGGTTCTTTATAGAACAAAATAGAGCACGTGCTTAATCAATCTGAAGAACCATTTCACCATGCAAAGAACCCTTTAAGCATGCAGACGGTGCTTTGAGTGTTCATGGTTCTATATAGAATCTCCTTCTTTACCATATAACCCTTGAAAAACACCTTTTTTTAGGAGTGATGTTTCTTCTAGGGTTCTTTAGTAAAGGGAATGGTTCTAGATAGTAAGCATATATTGTTCAGCTGAATTGATAAGGTTGGCACCCCGCTAACTGCAGGGCACCGCTGGGCCACCCGGATTATTGTCCTCTATACGAGGACTAACTAGTTTTTAATCTACTCAGACAGTTTTTAAATGCACAGAGACTTTTATTTTGGAAAATAAACTAAAATAGTTATTACAAATAGCTGAGATTAACCACTAATAAAACAATTTTGTTGAAAATGTTTTTGCTGACATTGTTCTACACTCTTAAAAAATGTTTTTTCAAGGGTTCTTTAGTAAAGACAATGGTTCCATATAGAACCGTGAACACTCACAGAAACCATCTTTCCATGGAATAATGGTTCTTCAGATTGATGGAGAATGCGTTGTGCATGACTGGTACAATCCCAAGCATGTTACAACAGAAGAACCCCCTTTGGTGCTGCATAGAACCCTCAAAAAAGTTCTATATAGCACCATATACAACATATTCTCCATCAATCTGAAGAACCATTTCACCATGCAAAGAAGCATTCAGGCATGAAATGGTTTTATATATAACTCTTAATTAAAGTCTACGTTATCAACAAGTTTTAAGTGGGAAAATTCAGCCTGATGACACAGAGCCTGTGAACGTCTTGTAGTTAAGATAGACTAATCACACACAGCCTAGGCCGCTTATCCTCCTGGGTTGCGCTGGAGCCTATTCCAGTGCTCATTGGGCGGAAAGCAGGAAACACCCTGGATAGGTCGCGGTTGCACAGTCAAAGTAAATGTCTGTGCAAGCCATGCTGACACAGGGAGAGCATACAATCTCCACACAGAAAGGACCCTGGTTGCCCGGCTGGGGAATCAAACCCGGATCCTTCTTGCTGTGAGGTGACGGCGCCACTGTCTCACCCCTTAGATCATTCAGAAGCAACCAAACACCTATGTGTTGGGACTTCACAATCACAGCAAGCCAGAAAAAGTGAAGTGTTGGTCTTCGTGGTTAAAAAAAGACGTGGACCTCTGTTTATAGAAAACAATCACAGTTTTAATTGCAATAGCAATACTTGTCAGAAAAATCACGATTAGATGTTTTGCCCAAGTGGTTCAGCCCGATCACAGGCACTGATAAACTGTTCAATAAATGTGTTAAAGAAAGAAGAGTGCTTTGAGTCAGCTGTGGGCAAAGAGATCCTCCTGATCCAGTGTCGCTTGCTCTGCTGTAATGGTGAATGTGAATTTAGACAGGAGGTACTTTGGACAGGTCATCTACAATATACAGTGTCAATAGAGAAAGGTTTTTTTTAAACCTTCATTTTACCAGACAGGATACTAAGAACATAATTCTTTCTTACAATATCAGACGGGCAAATACCAGAGAGGGCAACAGAATGTAAACAAAGTAAAAGGCAAAAGAGAAAAAAATCAGACAGAAAAAAAATATTTACAGTTTCATTAAAACCAAACAAAACCATATTTGCCACCCTATTTAGATTTTTTTACAATGAATAGATCCTCATACAAATTGTAATTTCACACAAGGAGAAAACAGGGAAACATCAAACGGATTTTAAATCATCATTTAATTTATTGAAGGAATACAGTTTTGCATCACCTGTTTGAATATGTAATTCCTGCACTACCCAACTGCACTTGAGCTTCAGATCACATGCTGATAACTGGACGCTGTTCAGCAGAATACATGGGGGTCATCAAGATGTTTTTGCAAGTCAGAGATGAGCCTTTACTTACCTCTTTGTTAGCAGTAACCTTTAACCTCACTACTCTCCCATTAGCACCATTTTCACCCAGTCTATTTCTGATGGTGGAATCACGACGGCTGACCTTCTCTACAGTGTCTTAGATGTTCGTCTGAGTTCTTCTGTGACGTCCTGAATGAGGGGTCACTGTGCTCTTGGAGGAATGTTGGTAGGCCGGCCAATTCTGTAAAGTTCCAAGTTTTCTCAGTTTAAAAATAATGGATCACACTGTGGTTTGTTTGAAGTCCCACAACCTTAGGAATGGCTTTGTAACCCTTTCCATGCTTGTATTTTGATAATTTCCATTCTTTTCTCTTTTCTTTTGTTAATGGTGCTGCTTGTTGACCTTTTATACAGTGCTAGAAATGTTTAATCTAAGTGATATTTAAATTCTGTCTAGTTTACTTGATCACAGTGATCACCTAAATTTGATTAGTTAAATGATTGAGTAACTAAGGGGACGATTACATATTAAACTCCAGGAATATAACGTGGCTTCTAGCTTTTCAGCCTTTTGACTTTGAGGTTTTCGTCTCAGGCAGGAAAGCTCATTCGCTCTATGCCGACTGTCTGTCTAGAACATCAGTGATGTCTGATTTGAGAGAGTGAAAAATCTCTGGAAATCTGTGTCTCCTTAAACTGCGGAGGGGGGCAAGTTTGTAAGAGTAGTTGCCAGCGAAAGTACCGAGAACGGTACCTAATATGGTCCTTGTCCACTGTAGTTCCTTTCTGCACTTCTATCCCTGTTTTTCCCCAAACACAGCCAGTGTTTATGGCCACAAAGCTTTGTTTTGGTTTAATCTGACTCTTGAATCTGGTTGTAGTCACTGTTGTTTTGTAATGTGCTAAACTTTGCTTAAATAAGACTAAACTCTTTCTTCTTGGACATCTTTCAGTAAGTTTGTCTGCATCAAGGCAGCATATTCTAAAATGTTTGGGCCTGGTTTCCAAGACACGGATTAAAATTAAGCCAATAATAAACCTTGACATTGCGTGTGTTTACATGCACTCAACACTCGGATCATAATCGGATTTTTGCAGTTATCTGATTATTCAAATGGTCATCTAAACAGCACACTCCGATTTCTTAGATCGGAGTAAGGTCTAGAAATCCCATTAAGAAATCTGATTAAGAGGCTGGATTATAGCTCAGTAAGCAGATTTCTCAGTGCATGTAAACTCTTACCCTGATTTCTTTCGGATTTCTCAGTCTGCGCATGTGCGAAAACAGACGGCGGTACCGGAAATAAACAAAAGCAGAGTTGGGGCGGGACGCAGCAAAACACTTTTGGAGTGACGCTGAAACCAAATACATGCTTCACAATATTAAGGATTTAAATAGTCTTCATCTTCTAGATGATGTATGTTCATATTTTCTGGTAAAGTGACTCAATGTAAAAAAAAAGGTGCAGCATTAAGTTTTACATTAGGTTTACATCACGGCTTCTTTATTAGCTGGTTGCAAAGCAGAAATCTGATTACTGTCTGACTCATGTACACCCGGAGTTTCCCCATTTTCTGATTTCCCAAGTTCATGTAAACATGTTGATTGGATTGCTGACAAAATCTGATTTTCTGCAGTTAATGGATTATTGAGTACATGTGAACGCACTCATTGATTTTTAATGGTGTATGAGCACTGATATTATATTTTGGTCCAAGGCTATGCTTAATCCACATCCTTAAAACCACCAGAGTGTTTGCCACTTGACAATTCTTTTGGACGACATACAGAGAAAGGTGTAAATACTGGGGCAGTGGAGTAAAGCTGACATACTTTCACTATATTCTTTTCATCTTCTGTTGTTGATACCTGCATTTTTTTTATAATTCTGGAAACTGTTTTAAAAACACAAAGATTGTACCTGTTTTAATTAGTGTGGGTTTTTCGTCTTTTCTAACAGGAATGTCAGGACATAAAGCCCACTCTTCTCCCTAAAATGGAACCAATACAACACCAAGAAGATGGTGGTGGAGACCAGGAGGGTCAGAAAAGTTTGTTAGTAGTCATTAAAACAGAACAAGGTCCAGAAGAAAGCAGTTCCTTTGTACACAGTGGGGAAGACCAGGATGTGTCCAGTCTGTCCCCTTTTTGTGAAACTCCATCAATCTCTGAGACATGGGAGAACCAGCACACACTCGAGGAGGATGTACGCAGTTCACTAATTATTATTAAAGTGGAACCAGATGAACAAGAACTGAATGACCAGCAGACCCTTCATGAGATGAAAGAGGTGTCCAACCAGCCAACTGTCTGTAAAACTGAACCAGACTCTGCTTACAGTGACAAAGAGCCACTGCATGAAAAATGTGGAAAAGAGGAAAATGAGGATCTAAATACTTCAGGTAAGTAAACAGAACAACATGTCTTATATTACTGGACATTTGTAACATAAAAAATGAATTAAAAGTCTTAAAATGCCAAAAACGGTTCCATTTCAGCTGAGTGCAGCCAGCCGCCTGTGGAAGCACACAAAGGACTGAAGTCATATCCCTGTTCCGAGTGCGGGAGAACCTTCTCTCAGTCGTCCTCGTTTTACAGACACATGAGAATCCACACTGGCGAGAGGCCGTTCCAGTGTTCTCAGTGCAATAAGACTTTCGTTCAGTCGAATACGTTCAAAATCCACCAGAGAATTCATACTGGAGAAAAGCCTTACAAGTGCTCGGACTGTGGGAAGAACTTCAAGCGTTTAGATAGTCTGAGGATCCACCAGAGAACTCATACCGGGGAGAAGCCGTACAAGTGTTCTCACTGTCCGAAGACCTTTACACGCTTACATATCCTACAGAACCATGAGAGAATACATACCGGAGAGAAGCCGTATCAGTGTTCTCACTGCTCTAAGACTTTCACACGGTCCAGTGTCTTTCAGGTCCATCAGAGAACGCACACAGGAGAGAGGCCGTACAAGTGTTCAGTGTGTGAAAAGCAGTTTTTAAACCTCTCAAATCTTATAAATCACAAGAGGAAACACACAAAAGAGAGGCCGTATCGGTGCTCTCAGTGTGATAGAACTTTCATTCAGTTAGCTCACCTTACAAGCCACCGGAGAACACACACTGGAGAGAAACCCTATCACTGTAACATCTGTGGGAAGAGCTATGGTGCGTCGTATACACTGTTCTGCCATCAGAAGAAACACAACCTTTCTCCTGCATCGTCATAGACCAGTGGTTCGCGTACCCCCAGGGTGTGCTGCTGGGAGTATATAAAAAATTCTAAACACTGCATTTCATTAGCCAGCCGCACCAATAATCAGAATTCTGAACCATTTTGCCAACTGTGTTTGCACACAGAGGAATTAGACCTCCAAATTTAACCCATTCATGCAGTGAAAAACCCGCCTACATGCACACTAGTGAACACATACACACTAGGGGGCAGTGAGCACACCTGCCCGGAGTGGTGGGCAGCCCTATCCACAGCGCCCAGGAAGCAGTTGGGGAGCAGCCTTGCTCAAGGCCACTTCAGTCATGTCCTGTCGGCTCAGGGGATCAAACCGGTGAACTTCCGGTCACAAGGCTGGTTCCCTAACCTCCAGCCTATGACTGCCCAGATACTCCCCCAGTAAAGACAATACAATAGCTCTGCCACTCCAGCACACCTTCACCACCTCCTGAATAAGAGATCCTCACAGAAACTGAGCAGATCTTTGAAAACTGACTTTAAATCATTACACTGAAAAGAAAATCTCCACATTCTCTAAACTGCATGGAGCGCTGACAGAAAACAGATATTTTAGTTCCACCCGTATTCTGGTCCATACCGAAGAGATGAACGGTGGTCTGGCAACAATTGCGGGTCTTGGGTCGCTTCCAAGTGAAAGTTGCTGCTTTGGGAACCACATTTTTATGAAGGTCCACACCAAATGAGGGAATTCAACACCAGAACATGCCTTTCTCAGTGCACATCAGCGCTGTACTGCCTGTTTTAATACTTGACTCTGTACAAACGCTCATCATTCCTGCTGTTAACAACAGCTGAGAAGCAATAAAATAACAGCAAAGCTTTTGATTTTTGCACATGGATTGCTCTACATACTTTTGGCCAAGCAGCGACCAGATTTGTTACATTCAAATTGGGAAACCAATCATAAAGAAAAAATATAAAGTAAGGTTTATTATTATCGCATTTATTGTTGTGCACTTGCACACTGTTAGAAATAAAGGTTCTGTGCAGGTACGTTCTTCATTCATCAAGGTACAAACAATGTAAATGTTCCCTCAAATGTTCAACAGTGGTTTTAGGGTCCAATTGTGTATATTAAATAGGTTTGTCCCAGTGGAAAAGTATGTATTTGTACCTTTTCATAACTGAATGTTTTAAAACAGAACAACAAAATAAAAAGCCTGGAGACGAGACGGGGTGTGTGGAGTCAGTACAGCTTAGAAAATATAATTTCAGTGGATTATGGTTCAATTATGTTCCCTGACTAAAGGTACTGAGATGAACCTATCATGTCTTACTTGTGCATCTTGGCAATACATGCACGTGTGTTTATAAGACGTCAGAGGAGGTATGCAGCAGGTGGTTTAATGTCTGGAGGGGTACAGGACTGTAAAGGGTTGGGGAACCACCGTCAAAGACGAAGAGCTGTCACAACCTGTTCTGAAGGATTTTTAATAAAAATAAATTGGTAGTCTCTATGAGTCATGATCAATTCATGTACTTAGTATTTGGAATGAGATCCCACTTGAAACTGGAACCACCTATCTCTTACATTTACATTTAGAGCATTTAGCAGATGCTCTTATCCAGAGCAACTTACAAGAGTGCTTTGTTCTCACTCAGAGAAAGTATCTTTGCTAGTACAAATAGGTTAGAGAGAAAGTTAGTCCTGAGCTCAGATACTGCTAGAAACAAAAGCCCCTGTTGATACTCAGAGAAAAAGAAACCCGAATTAATGCAAAACATTTCAATGAGTTCTTAACCTGTGTTCTTAACCTCTAAGAGCAAATCTATTCAAATCTTGCCCCTGAACTACAGATCACTATGTATGTCTTTTATTTGTTCTGATTGTTTTTACATAACATAGACAGATCATATATAGAACACAGATGAAAATGAATATACTTAAATGCATTACTCCTTTGTGACAAATACAGCTTGAAATAAAGCCTTGCCCCCTGCACATTTGGTCAATGAGTACTCACTTAGCAGTTTAAACTTGGGTTAAACTTTAAACCACAGCTAAGCTAAGGATTACATAGTAACAGATTTAAACAGCGCTTAAAGATGAAGTTTGTCTTTCCCATGAAAGAAAGGAGATCCTGTGTTCACATTAGATTTTAAGTAATTGTTGTCAAGTCAAGTCAAGTCAAAGTTTATTTATATAGCGCCTTTTACAACAGGTGTTGTCACAAAGCAGCTTTACAGAAAAATCCGGGTCCAAGCCCCCATGAGCGTCGCCAATGGCAACAGTGGCAAGGAAAAAGAGCAGGAGGAAGAAAGCTTGAGAGGAACCATGACTCAAAAGGGGAATCCATCCTCCTCTGGTTGACACCGGATAGCAAACAGTGTTAGAATAAAATATTAGAATACAAAATGGGGAAAATCAGGAGGAGCAATGGTTAATTAGATAGTTTGAGTTTATGCAGCAGCAGCAGGAGGGTCAGTTTATGAGGGTGAGGTTTGCACAGTTTTGTACAGCGTGAAGCTCAATGGTGGTCAAAACAGTCCAGCAGGCTGAAACAGTCCGGAAGGCTGGCAAACAGTGAGCACCTGATCAAGGCAGAAGCGTCAGCATCAGACGCACAGGATGGGGAGTTGTTCAACTTGGCAAGATGAGAATTAAAACTCCAGTTATTTCCAAAAAGGTCCAAATGACACCAACAGGCAGCGCTGCTTTCACCCGCTCAAGTGGTCTTAGTTTTATTGGTAGGAGGCACTGCATGGACACTCTTTACAGTCAGGTGATGAAGACGTTTCCATCATGGCTGAGAAAAGAAGCTAACAATCAATCAATTCTATATAATCAAATAAAACCGTACAAATGCTAACTAATGATCATTTTTACAGACGTGTGCGATGGGCCAAACTTGAAAGACGCCAGATAATTACTAGCTACATAAACTACACTCTTAAAAAAGATGGTTCTTTAAGGGTTCGTTAGTAAAAGAAAATGGTTCTATATAGATCCATGAAGACTCACGGAACCCTTTGCATGATTAAAGAGTTCTTTGCATCTTGAAAGAGTTCTTCAGATTGACGGAGAATGTCGAGCTTGGTACAATAGAAGAACGCTTTTCGGTGCTATATAGAACCAGCTTCAGCACATCCATCAGTCTGTAGAACCCTTTCGTGATGCAAAGACGTTTTAGTCGTGCAAAAAAAAAGGTTCTATATAGCACAAAAAGGGTTCTGCTACTGTTATGATGTCACCATTTTTACAAAAAGGTTATATATAGAACCAGCTACAGCACATCCATCAGTCTGAAGAACCCTTTTTGGTGCTATATAAAACTCTTTACAAAAAAAAATTGAACCATTTCATGGTGCAAAAAAACCTTAAATCATGCAAAAAAAAACTGTTCCATATAGCAGAAAAGGGTTCTGCTACTGTTAGGATGTCAAGCTTGTTACAACAGAAGAACCCTTTTCAAGGAGGTTCTATATAGAACCTCTTCTATATAGATCTGCAACACATTCTCCATCAATCTGAAGAACCATTTCATGCAAAGGGTTCTTTGAGTGATGGTTCCATATAAAACTATTTTCTTTACTAAAGAACCCTTGAAGAGCCATCTTTTTAAGTATGTACAACAACTTAAATGTTTTTTGATTACTTCCCACGTGAATCACATGACTGTGACCACTTGGGTGGTTCCTACTCAGAGAAACTAACTACTGCCCACTTTAAAGCAAGTTATGCAGCGCAGTGCGACTGGATTGGTGGTTGGACGTCACCTTGGAGGGAATAAAATGCAGTCTCAATACTTACTTCAAAACAGTGGTCACCAACCCTCCTCTTGAAGATCTGCTGAGTTTAGTTCCAGCCTGCATCTAAAATGCTGCCTCCTGCTTACCTGACACTAATGTATCTGATTCAGCCAATCAGGAACGTCTGAAGAAGTGGATTAGCTGGAGCAGGAGTGGTAGACTGTGGTTAAGACTACACTGCTGGAAGGTAGACCAGGAACAAGTTTTAGTGACCTCTTTAAAAGGTTCTTTGCTAGATAATGTCAAACATGGACCTGGAACTCAGACCAACGTACAGTTATCTAGAGCAGGGGCTCCCAATCCCAGTCCTGGTGACCGTTTGCTCTGCAAATATTTGAGTTTTTCCTACTTAGCACACCTGATCCAGCCAACGAGGGTCCTGTTCATTAGTTAATGCATCGAATCAAGTGAGCTTGATGAGAGAACACAAGAAATGTACCCCTGATCTAGAGCACTGGTACTCAGCCCTGGTCCTGGAGTACCACTGTCCTACACATTTCAGACATTCCTCACACCTGATATAACTAACAAACTATATTAACAAAATGAACAAGCACTTCCAGAGGGAGAACACTACAACATGCAGGGAAGTGGTTCTCCAGCTCCAGGATTGAGAACCTGTGATCCACAGAAGCTGTAGAGTAGCATGATGGTCATCAGCCCTCATCAGGAGATCTACACATTTAAAAAAGATGGTTCTTCACAGGTTCTTTAGCAAAGAAAATGGTTCTATATAGAACAATGAGCACTCAAATAACCCTTTGGTTCTTTGCATTGTGAAAGGGTTCTTCAGGTTGACAGAGAATGTGCTGTAGATGGCTCTATATAGAACCTTTTTGAAAAGGCTTCTACACAGCCCAAGAAATGGTTCTTCTATTGATACAGGCTTGACATTGTAACAATAGAAGAACGCTTTTTGGTGCTACATAGAACCCTTTTCAAAAAGTTTCTATATAGAACCATTTTCTTTACTAAAGAACCCTTAAAGAACCATGATTTCTAAGAGTCTAGCTTTCAGCAGAGTGTATTCCCAACCACAGTCTGCTACACCTGTTCCAGCTAATCAACCTCTTCAGAGGTTCCTGATTGTCTGGATCAGGTGCATTAGTGTCAGGTAAGGAGGAGGCAGCAGCTTGGTGCTAAACTCTACAGGATAGTAGATAGTAGACCACTGGTGTAACAGTACACAGTCTGTACTGTATCATGGGGAATAAACATTACCCAAGTCCATAATCTCTTTTGGTATCTGCCATTTATTGCTGGTCTCATAAAAACAAAAGGATATAATCTCTTGTACCTTCTCTGTATACATTAGAAGACAATATTATCCAGCTAGCAAAAGTAATTTTCAAAAGACACATTGACCACCATAACAATATCATCAACATTATGTATCAAACGTGAAACCACAGAATCAGAAATTAATGTATATTAATTTATACTGGATTGGCTGCTTCAATAAGGGGGCACAAGTGTGATCATGAGTTGTGGATTAACAGTATTACATACGCTAGTTTAATAAGACTAGTTCAAAAAGTAGAAACCATTTTTAAACTTGGTTGCTGCTTTTTATACCAATTTTATTTAAGGCTGTCCTTTAGCAAAACCTTCTTTTTGGTAAGATGCTGAGGAATAAAAGATAAAATATAAGTATCACATTAAATAGCTTTCAAATATATACAATACAATTAATACACAATGATGAAATAAGACACTGTAAATAGTACAATAAAACAATGTTCAAGTTAATCACATTCTATTCATTTAGAATTCAAAAATCATTTGGTGTACAAACCACAGAAGCTCTGCAGCACAATCTGTAACAATTTTAACCTTGTAGAACATTAAAAACATTTGGCTACAAAAACTCTTTTTAGTCAGTTTCAGTCATATTTCATAGGTATAAGACACTTCAAGTTCAAGGTTAATCTGTGGAGCTAAGATTTTATTTGGAAATTTAATCCATTTCCTATCAGCAAATTATTAATCATCAAACAAATAAACACACTTAAGGCAGGATAAAGAGTTTACCAACTCTTTTAGACCACCAGTATAAAATCTGTACTGTCAGAATTTAGGGCTCTGAAATCAAAACAGTAATTTCTACTTGATAATAAACACACTATGGATTAAAGATGAAAATATAAGTATTATGGAATTATCTTCTATCTGTACATACATTTTCACGTATATGTATTTCTATGACTGAAATTTACTGACGTGGACAGGCCAGATGCTCGTTAGGGGTCAGTACTGTGTCAAAGTGGCCGGAGAACATGAAATGGTAAACAGGGAGGTTCCACCCGGCTGGACATTTGTGTAAATGCTGCTTTCATTCTTCGATAATGCTGGGTGAGCCGTGTCACTCTTACAAAGGATGGTTCTTCAAGGGTTCTTCAGTAAAGAAAAATGGTATATATATCCATTAACACTCAAAGAACCCTTTGCATGATTAAAGGGTTCTCTGCATCCTGAAATGGTTATTCAGGTTGATGGGGAATGTGCTGTAGCTAGTTCTATAAGGAACCTTTTTGAAAATGGTCGTATATAGCACCTAAAAGGGTTGTTCTATTGTTACAAAGACATTGTACACATTTAAAAATGACGGTCCTTCAAGGGTTCTTTAGTAAAGACAATGGTTCTATATAGAACCATGAATACTCAAAGAACCCTTTGCACGACTAAAGGGTTCTTTATATGTGAAAGGTTCTTCAATGTGCTGTAGACAGTTTTATAAAGAACCTTTCTGAAAATGGTTCTATATAGCACCTGTTAAGATGACAAATTTGCAACAATAGAGAAACCCCTTTGGGTGCTATATAGAACACTTTTCAAACAGGTTCTATATAGAACCGTGTGTAGCACATTCAAGCACATTCAAGAACTCTATAATGATGCAAAGAACCCTTTAATCATGCAAAGTGGTCTTTGAGTGTTCATGGTTCTATATAGAACCATTTTCTTTACTAAAGAACCCTTGAAGAACCATCTTTTTAAGAGTGTAGGCTACTATTAATTGTGGCCTGTTATTGTAGTTTTATGTTTCGAAGCTGGGCTTTGAGTTATTGTTTCTTCCTCTCTTTTCCCAAAAATTTCTTCCCATCATTTTTGTAGTGTCTAATCTCATCTGTCTATTTATTCATTTCAGCCCTTTCAACCAAATTATAATTTGGCCTTTTACTTGTGGTGCTGAGAAGTGGTGCACATACGTCCCAAAAAAGGCCCAGAAATAAAAGGTAACGCACTGTTCTGTCGCTTCGGGTTCCTAGTTTTATCTTTAAAGCGCTTTTGTATTCTGTGTAAATTGAAAATAATGATTCAAATTTAAGTTTTTGTTTTAATTATGGACCTCGAGTCCATGTTCCATGACGCCAGCGTTTCCACAGCCTCAGACGCTCTGAAGCCTTGTAGTGCATGTTCACCAAGCCCACTTTTAGATGCATGATGACAGACCACACCAGCATCATATAAACAAAACTCCTTAAATCAGGATAATGCTATCAAGTGTTGCCTCTAGTAATGTAACAATACAACGTAACACACTGTACTGTACTGAAAACTGTATGGCAGCATATTGTATCACTTTATCATGACTAGCATATCAGCTTGTGGCAAGTGCTTTAAAATACAGTTTCAAAAACTGTATTTTTATAAATGCATTTTAACATTTTTAAAGCTAATTGGAAACATTAACATTAATACACTAACTAAGGCATGTTTTTTGCCACTCTGTTTTTGCTGTATTGAAAAATCAATCTAATTGAGAAAACACTGTATTGCATTGAAGGAAAACATTCTTTTTGTAAGTTGTCGCACTTCTAGTACATCACTTATAAAGATATGTGTAAACTTCACTGACACACCAGCAGCTCTCTTACACAGTTGTATGCAAAAGTTCAGGCACCCCAGTCAAATAATGTTTTGTCAATTTTCTGCGTTAAAATAAGCTGACATCCTCTACAGAGAACACAATTAAATAGGGCTGTTTTGTGCAAATTTTAGTGCACAATTTCTATTTATTTGCCGAATTTAAAATATTGAGAAGATGTAACATAATATGTAAAATGTTCCTTACGTACAAGTCACGTCTTATGCTGTATTTTTTCCCAATATGTTAAAAAGGAAAGGAGTTGAGCATTAATATGTGCAGAAGTGTGTTCTCTGTAGAGCACGGTTGTCAAAGTCAACGACTAAGAGGGCCATATTAAAAAATCCCAGCACAAATGGGTCAGATGTGCTTTTATTTTTACGTAATATTTTGCCATGACCCCAACTGGCTATTGTTTATTCAAAATTTGTCTAAGCTACAACAGCAGAAAATAGGCACTGAGTAACTGAATGACTCAAAAATTAGCTGCAGGTAACTGTTAAACCTCTTTAAATATCCTCATTAGACAGCAAGGTTTTTTTAAAGCTGCCCATTCGCTTGAACTAGACACCTGGCAGACCGTTGCTAGGGAGGGGGTGGGGCTCACAATATGAACTATAGTGCAGCTCAGGGTGAAATGGGCTAATACTAATAGAAATGACTGATTTGGCCCGCGGGCCTTGTGTTTGTCACATGGGCTGTAGAGGATGTGTTTCACTTTAAAAAAACAAAAAAAATCAACAAAATGTCAACTGACCAGGGGTGCCAAAACTTTTGCACACGACTAACTTCTTTGCACTGTTTGCTGTGTAATTACGGAATATTAATCCACAGGATGTAATCAAAGGGTGATTTAACAAGAGAGTATTTTCACAGCTTTGTTACGTCTTCTCTCCTGTGTGCGTTCTCAGATGTTTGGTAAGGTGTCCCGACTGAATGAACGTCTTATCACACAAAGAGCATCGGTACGGCCTCTCCTCTGTGTGCGTCCTCTCGTGGTTCCTGATGTTCGACAAGTACAAGAAGCGCCTTCCGCAGACGGAGCACTGATAGGGCTTTTCTCCCGTGTGTATCCTCTGGTGATTCTGGTAGACGTCTAAGCGTGTAAACGTCTTGGCGCACTGAGAGCACTGGTAAGGCTTCTCTCCGGTATGAATCCTACGGTGGTTCTGATAGACGTCTAACCGAGTGAAGCTCTTGCCGCACTGAGAGCAAAGGTAGGGCTTCTCACCGGTATGAGTCCTCTGATGGATCTGGAGCACGTCTGTCCGCGTGAACGTCTTCCCGCACTGAGCGCACTGGTACGGCTTTTCTCCGGTGTGTGTTCTCTGGTGGGTTTTGAAGGATCTTGACTGGGTGAAGGACTTGTCACACTGAGAGCACTGGTACAGCCTCTTACCGGTGTGTATTCTCATGTGGCTGTAAAAGGCTGATGATTTAGAGAATGTACTTCCACATTCAGAACAGGAGTAAGACTTTAGTCTGCTGTGTTCTTTACCGGGTTTGTCCAGGCGATGGACATGTTTCCCATGCTTTCCTTCTCTGGTAATCTTTTTGTCCAGAATTTGTCGGCCAGCTGGAGATCTGCTCCCATTATTTGAGGATGGCTGACCTGACATATCAAGAACAGGAAATTAGTGTCATTAAAACAACATAAAAACTGTTCAAATGATGTTCTAACAAAATATATTGCTTACTAAAGTAATTATTTGCTATGCAACCAGGGTGCATTGGGGTGTTATTAGCAGACAAATGCTGTATCAGATATTGGATGGGGAAAAAAAGGATTCTTCCAATTCAGTCTAGCCTTTTTTTATGGCCTTGGGCAATAACTGATATTACTGAATATCGCTGTTGTCGGAACAAAACCTCAGATCACCAAAACGGCAACTTTACAAGAGAAGGAAAAAGCATACTTTACTTTTTATGTAAATCAGTGGAACCAGACTTTTTTTCAAGTAATTTTGGGTCGTTTCTTTTGGTCCATTCATCATGAAATTTACACACAATGTAAAGAACAACAGACATTTTCAAATTATATCAAAAACTGAAAAATGACAAAAATGGAGATACGAGCTTTTGTTCCAACAGCAGCGATATCATGATGAGTGTCACCTGTCATATTATGCTAATTATGGTTCCTTTATTCTCTTTCACATGCCCAATATTTTTGTTTTCTTCTCCAAACCAGGAATCATTCTTTTTGTATAATTATTCTAATCTATGATAATGTGTACATGGGGTGGGCAATATAGCAAAATTTTATTGTTGTTTTATTGTTGAACGATTATGTCTCAATACACTTTTCTAGATATATTGTGGATATGGCCAGTACTTGAAGAACACCAACTAAAAACATTTTTCATTTCAAAGTGCACATAATTAGGCCTGTTTAATTGGATTTATTGCAGAGCAGTTTTTAAAACATGCAATAAAATCAGTATAGCCGTAGGTTTATTATTATTATTATTATTATTATAGGTGGCACTACAGGTTCCATTTTGTCTGTTGTAATTTACTAAATCTCAAAAACTAATCATTGTGATGCATATCATGTATGGTAAATATGAATGCGACTTAATTTAATACTTTGCAAATATACCGGCTCTGAGTCTCTCCTCTACCACTTAATTAGACCAGAGAACACATGGCAAAGGATCCCGAGTCCACAGCGTGGACTCTCCTCTTCAGCTCATCCCACAGGTTTTCTATGGGGTTCAGGACAGGGAGCTGGGGTGGCCATGGCAAAACCTTGAGTGAACCATGTTTGTGTTGATTTTGAGGTGTTTTTTGGATCATTGTCCTGCTGGAAGATCCAAACTATGGCCCAGTTTAAGCTTCCTGGCTGAGGCAGTCAGGTTTTGATTTAATATCTGCTGGTACTTAATGGAGTTACCATGTATCCACACAAGCTGTCCAGGGGCTTTGGAAGGGAAAAACAGCCCCACAGTATCACAGATCCACATAGTTCATAGTGAGAACAGGGTTCTCTTTTTGTCTACACCAAACTCATCTCTGGTGTTTGCTGCCAATTTGCAACAAGCATTTTGCTCTCATCTGTCCACAGAACACAGTCCCACTGAAAGATCCCGAAATGTTTGGCAAACAGTAGGCGCTTGAGTTTGACAGCAGAGGCTTTCTGCTGGCAACCCTTCCAAACAACTTGTGCTTGTATAGGTGGCGTCTGATTGCAGTTTGGGAGACGTTCCCACCACAAGACCTAACCAACATCCCCAGCTGTGATCCTTGGAGATTCTTTGGCCACTCAAATCATCCTCCTCACTCTGCATGGGGTCAGTATAGACATACGTCCTGTTCCCGGTAGATTTTTGACATTTTCAATTGCTTTAAATTTCAGAATTATTAAACTTAAACTTCGGTTGTGGACAGCTGTAATTATCAGTATCAATTATTCAGTAATATTAGAAGCTAGCCTAGTTGGTAATTGTATGGTCATTATATTGGCATCAGTGAAACTGCAAGGTATAAGGTAAGGCTCTGTAATGCTCACATGACTGCATTCGCATCATGGTGATATCTTTTATATCAAAGATTCTGCAGACGATGGGATATTTGTGAGGAGATTAGATATAAGATTATCCATTTAGTCAAAGCGGAAAAAACAAGAGCTTCCAGAACTCTAAAAGCTACAGACTAAATGGGGCTCCTAACAACCACCTGGAAGAGCTGGTGGACACCAAAACTGCCCCCATCAGATAAACAGCACTTAAAACTTTCATCTTTGAGAGAGAGGAGAAAATCTTCTTTACATATGGTTATATTTGTAATGGATTCTATATAGCACCAAAATGGGTTCTTCTATTTGTTACAATGGCAAGCTTGTAACAACAGAAGAACCTTTTTGGTGCTATATAGGACTCTTTTCCTAAAATATTCTATATTTAGAACCATACTCAGCATATTTTAATCATGCAAAGGGTTCTTTGAGTGTTCATGGTTCTATATAGAAACACTGTCTTCACTAAAGAACCCTTGAAACACCATCAATTTTAAGTGTGTACAGTGTCAAGTTTGTTACAACAGAAGAACACTTTTTGATGCTATATAGAACCCTTTTAAAAAGGTTATACATATAGAACCACATTCAACACATTCTCCATCAATCTGAAGAACCCCTTCACAATATAATGAATCCTTTAATGCAAAGGGTTCTTTGAGTGTTCATGGCTCTATATAGAACCAGTGTCTTTACTGAGGAAACCTTGAGGAACCATCTTTTTTAAGTGTGTACAATGTGAAGTTTGTAAAAAAGAAGAACTCTTTTTCGTGTTATATAGAATCCTGTTCAAAAGGTTCTATGTACAGAACCATATTCAACACACTCTCCATAAATCTGAAGAACTCTTTCACATAAAGAACCCTTTAATCATGCAAAGGGTTCTTTGAGCGTTCATGATTCTATGTAGAACCATTGTCTTTACTGAAGAAACCCTGAAGAACCATCAATTTTAATTAGTGAAGTTCTTCCTATGGGGTAGTAGAGTGTTTGATTAGTCTCAGCATGATGGATTACGTTTAGGTTAGCTAATCTTAAATGAAGTGTTATAGGGGGCAGCACAGTGACACAGTGGGTAGCGCTGTCACCTCACAGCAAGAAGGGCCTGAGTTTGATTCCCCGCCCGGTCAACCTTTCTGTGTGGAGTTTGTATGTTCTCCCCCTGTCTGTGTGGGTTTCCTCCCACAGTCCAAAGACATACAGTCAGGACAATTGGAGATGCTAAATTGCCCCTTGGTGTGAGTGTGTATGTCTATGTGTCTGCCCTGTGATGGACTGGTGACCTGTCCAGGGTGTATCCTGCCTTTCGCCCAATGACCACCTGGGATAGGCTGCAGCCACCCCGTGACCCAGGAGGATACGCGGTTTAGAAAGTGTGTTTGTGTGTGTGTGTGTGTGTGTGTGTGTGTGTGTGAAGCATAGTAGTCTTTAAAGAAGAGTATCACATCAGTATCTGCTGATACTTACGTTTTCTGTATCAGTATCAAAAAAGTGTCATTGTATAATCACTTATTATCCAACCAAACACACTCAACTTACTTGTATTTGAATCCTCTTGGTCTCCCATCAACTCTGGTATTTGCTTACAGTCCACATGCTGGACTGACCACATCTGTATGCAGGTCTGTTCACCAGCGCCGCTGTATAGGGGGTAAGAGACTTCCACAGTGTCTGCTTCTGTTTTACAGAGAGGAGGCAGGTAAGGTTCCCCCTGCTGAGGTATGTGATGGTTCTCACTTTCAGATTCACACTTCAGTCTCTGTAGATCTGGTTCTGTTTTAATAACTACCGAACTGGGCACTTCCTTTATCTCATGGAGAGACTGGTGGTCCTCATTTTCCTCTTCATATCCACAGTCCTGTGCTATCCTGTGGTCTTCACCACTTTGTGCAGACGCATTTATTTCTTCTGGCTCTGTTTTAATAACTACAAACAGACTTTCCACACATGCTGAATCCTGGACTGCACACTGCTCTCCCACTATGCCTTCATGATGCTGTACCTGTGTTGGGCGTTTATGTGGAGGATAAAGGGGAGATGCATCATGGAGCTCCTGTTATTGAAAAGGACAAAAAGCATTTAATCAAACTGCTTGAAATCTCTCCTTTATTTTAATATTTAAGCCATTCAGTGCTACTCTAGATCTAAAAGCTGTATTGTGAGTTATATAGTTCTATAAACTAAACTGCTATATTATTAAAAACACTAAATCTTGTTGTCTAAATGTATAAATCTTGTAAAATAAGTCAGAATTTCTAGCTCTCTTTTTTCAGTGGTCAATAAAACGTCCTTACATTAGTATATGTTTTTTTATAATCTGTGAGGTTATAAAAAACTGTGTATTGATTGATATAGATATAGAAAAAAATACTGGTGGTAATAGCTCCTAACAAGCAGTTTAATTGGTTTTCTTAAATACAGTGAATAAAACAATATACAGTAATATGTTACACCAATTCAAACTATCAATTTCCACTCTGTTCCTCTTTTTCACAGCGTATGTATCAGATTTCACAACATATTTTTGTATATTTTTGTTTTGTACATTTGTATATTTTTGTTTTGTAACTTTATCAAATATCTAAGTCCTTTTTAAATGTTATCATTAGATTAAAATTAATTCTGCAATCTTGAAAAGAAACTACAAGATTTTACTTTCCAAATATGTATTTTTAAAAAATAACTTAGAATTTCAATTTCTAAAAAAATAATGTATTTTTAATATGTGAGATACATTTCAAATACATTATTACATTTGAATATGTATTCCAAACTAGGGGTGGGCAATATAAAGATATAATATCATGATATGCTACACCGATCAGGCATAACATTATGACAACCTCCTTGTTTCTACGCTCATTGTCCATTTTATCAGCTCCACTTACTATATAGGTGCACTTTGTAGTTCTACAGTTACAGACTGTAGTCCATCTGTTTCTCTGATACTTTGTTAGCCCCCTTTTACCCTGTTCTTCAGTGGTCAGGACCCCCATGGACCCTCACAGAGCAGGTACTATTTGGGTGGTGGATCATTCTCAGCACTGCAGTAACACTGACGTGGTGGTGTGTTAGTGTGTGTTGCACTGGTTTGAGTGGATCAGACACAGCAGTGATACTGGAGTTTTTAAACACCTCAGTGTCGCTGCTGGACTGAGAATAGTCCACCAACCAAAAATATCCAGCCAACAGCGTCCTGTGGGCAGCGTCCTGTGATCACTGATGAAGGACTAGAGAATGACCAGCACAAACTGTGTAGCAGCAGATGAGCTATCATCTCTGACTTTACATCTACAAGGTGGACTGACAAGGTAGGAGTGTCTAATAGAGTGGACAGTGAGTGGACACAGTGTTTAAAAACTCAGTGCTGAGAATGATCCACCACCCAAATAGTACCTGCTCTGTGAGGGTTCATGGGGGTCCTGACAGAACAGGGTAAAAGGGGGGCTAACAAAGTATGCAGAGAAACAGACTGTAATTGTAGAACTACAAAGTGCACCTATATAGTAAGTGGAGCTGATAAAATGGACAATGAGCATAGAAACAAGGAGGAGCTTATAATGTTATGCCTGATCGGTGTATATAGGATTCACAATATGATGTGACACAATATCCAGGTCTAATAAGTTGGAATAGACACAAATAGAAACAGTAGTGCCACATTTAAAAAATGTATCAAAGACCATTAGTACAAATTACTTTCATTTAACATTTTACATACTGTTTTATGTCACAATAAGATTGAGTTTTTAGTTTTTCAACAAAGGTTTGATTTTTGCTAATATTTTAAATGAAAGATCAAAAGGAGAAGCAATGAAGAATGTTTTTCACAGCTCATCAGGAATGCCAATATTAATATGATCATACTGCCCAGCCCTATTCCAAACACAACTGTACATTAGACAAAAAAAACATAGTTTGTTTATTTTCATACGTTTTCAGATGTACCCGATAAATCTACTTTACATATATTTGCTTTTCATGCATCCTTAAAAAAGATGCTTCCTCATGGGTTCTTTATTAAAGGCAGTGGTTCTATTTACAATTATAAGTTCATTCTTCAATATTTGTTTGCATGGTGAATCAGTTTTTAAGACTGATGGAGAATGTGCTGTACATGGTTCTATATAGAACATCTTTGAAAATTATTCTATGTAGCACCAAAAATGATTCTGCTATTGTTCCAAGCTTGACATTGTACACCATAGCAGAACCCTTTTTTTGGTGCTACATAGAGTCCTTTTCAAAAACAATTACACCAGATAGAACACATTCTTCATCAATCTGAAGAACCCTTTCACCACGCAAAGAATCATTTAAGCATGAAATGGTTCTATATAGAACTCATGGATCTAACAGAACCACTGCCTTAACTGAAGAACCTCTGAAGAGCAATCCTTTTTAAGTGTGCATGAAAGGAGTCAGTATAGTACACTTAAAAACGATGCTTCTTCAAGGGTTCCTTAGTAAAGAAAATGGTTCTATACAGAGCCATGAACACTCAAAGAACCCTTTCCCTGATTAAAGGGTTATTTGAATCATGAAATGGTTCAAATTGATGGAAAATGTGCTATAGAACCTTTTTGGTGGTTTTAAAAAGGGGTTTATATTGCAACCAAAAGGGTTCTTCTATGGTTACAAGCTTGCCATCATAACAACAGAAGAACCCTTTTGAGTCCTACATAGAACCTTTTTCAAAAAGGTTCTGTAGGGAACCACCTAGCAGATACTCCATCAATCTGAAGAACTATTTCCCTATGCAAAGAACCATTTAAGTATACAAAGGGTTCTTTGAGTGTTCATGGTTCTATACAGAACAATTTTCTTTACTAAAGAATCCTTGAAGAACCATCTTTTTAAAAAAACACGCTTAGCAAAAAGGGTTTTACATAGTTCCAAAAAGGGCTTGTAACAATAGTGGAACCCTTTTTGGTACTACACAGAGCCTTTTACAAAAAGGTTCCATACAGAACCATATACAACACATTCTCCATCAATCTCAAGAACCATTTAGAGTCCATGGTTCTATAAAAAAAACATTGTCTTTACTAAAGAACCCTTTAAGTAGACTATTCCTCCTGAACTCATCAGCTGCAAACAGGTGGAAAAGCATGAACTCCACTAATTAGAATAATCAGACAGTCATTCATCACCAATTTCTTAATAAATGTTAGACAGATAAACTCAGGCTGCGATTTATAAGACATGGAACAACAATAATTCCCTCTTTTTTAGTATAGAAACGACCGTGCAGAAGCACAAACCTCTTTTACGAGCTCGCCCTCCTCTTCAGTCTTCAATGAATGGATCACTGATCCATTCTTTGGATGCAGGACATGTTCAGTGTCCACTATCACTGCTGCCCGTCTGGCTCCCTCCTGACCGTGCACTGCCATGCTGCTACAATCCAAGTCGATGTACATAAACTCATTAATTTAGCTCTCTAGTCTCCATGGACTAAAGCAGGAGGGCTAAAAACACGCAGTGCTGCACACAGAAATGCACCTCATAGGGTAAATACAGCCGCTGTTAGACTTAGAGCTAGACCTAGACTGAGTTCTGATCTGTAAATGAACCTATACTGCTGCCTTACTGCGAACATGCCAAGAAAGCTGAGCTCCTTCTTCTTGTTTTTGACATCAGACTGAACACCAGTCTGCGTGTTACTGCCATCTACAGTGCAAAGCTTTGGACAATAATTATGACGACCAATAGAGGGCGCTACAGTGTGAAAATAAATCTATATAAACAGCTCATACTCACCCAAACAAAAATCTGATATATGGCAAGATGGATTTCAAACATGGCAAATATTTAAACATGATGGTTCATTAAGGGTTCTTTAATAAAGAAAATGGTTCTATATAGAACCATAAACACCCAAAGATCCCTTTCTTTGCATGGTGAAAGAGTTCTTCGGATTGACTGTATAGCACCAAAACGGGTTCTTCTATTATTGACATTGTTACAGTAGAAGTACCCTTTTTGGTGCTACATAGAACCCTTTTTTTTAAAAAGGTTCCATATAGAACCATATTCAACACATTCTTCATCAGTCTGAAGAATGCAACGTCTTCTTTGATGTTCATGGTTCTTTATAGAACCATTTTCTGTATAAAGAACCCTTGAAGAACCAGCATTTTTAAGTGTGTATGACATATATTAGCATGTATGGTTTTCCCTTATATCCCAATTATATTAGTCACATATGGACATATATTTTTTGAAATTGGCCATTTTCAAATATGGGAAATATATTTTAGCCATATATCAGCATATACAAACACACATACACCGATCAGGCATGACATTATGACCACCTCCTTGTTTCTATGCTCATTGTCCATTTTATCAGCTCCACTTACTGTATAGGTGCACTTTGTAGTTCTACAGTTACAGACTGTAGTCCATCTGTTTCTCTGCATACTTTGTTAGCCCCCTTTTAACCTGTTCTTCAGTGGTCAGGACCCCCATGGACCCTCACAGAGCAGGTACTATTTGGGTGGTGGATCATTCTCAGCACTGCAGTATGTTAGTGTGTGTTGTGCTGGTCTGAGTGGATCAGACACAGCAGTGCTGCTGGAGTTTTTAAACACCTCAGTGTCACTGCTGGACTGAGAATAGTCCACCAACCAAAAATATCCAGCCAACAGCGTCCTGTGGGCAGCATCCTGTGACCACTGATGAAGGACTAGAGGATGACAAACACAAACTGTGCAGCAGCAGATGAGCTATCATCTCTGACTTTACATCTACAAGGTGGACTGACAAGGTAGGAGTGTCTAAAAGAGTGGACAGTGAGTGGACACGGTGTTTAAAAACTCAGTGCTGAGAATGATCCACCACCCAAATAGTACCTGCTCTGTGAGGGTCCATGGTTGATTGAACTGCGGAGAGCTGATGGAGCTGATTACGATCACAAGCAGAGATCAAGGATAACTCATGGTTTCCTGGATCTTTTCCTTCGTTTCTTGCTTGGCATCTCTCTGCCAGCCGATCAAGACTTCCTGCAGGCCTTGCTCACGCACAGTGAGGACAGTGCAGAGGCTATTAAGAGTACATGCTGTAATACTGTATATCAAGGACATTTCTCCAGAGAGATTCATCAACTTTTTCCTTTGCTTACTTGAGATAAAAGACAACACATTGCATGATGAGATTCAGGAGTACTTGCAGTCAGACAAACACTCTATCAAAGAGCTCTCACCTGCTCATTGCTCTGCACTGGCCTATATGCTGTTAATGTCTGAAGAGGTGCTGGATGAGTTTAACCTGAAGAAATACAACACGTCAGTGGAGGGTCAGAGGAGACTGATCCCAGCTCTAAAGTGCTGCAGCAAGGCTTTGTAAGAATAAATCACTTAAAAGTTTGATAATACCTTAAACAATTAGATCGATGTGTTATTCCTCAAAGAAAATATTTAATATTACTGCCTTATTTGAGTGTTTAATGTGTAAATAATTAAGTACTTTTGCAATTATTGTAATCTTTTGCCATGGTTAGCCATGGTTAATGCAAGGAGATATATGCCAACAAATATTTTGAGCTAAAGAAAAGGCAAATGTGCAATAGTATAATATCAAAAGGTGTTGAATTTCTTGTTATTATATTATTATATTATTCAGTTCAATCTAAAAAGGCAAATAAGTTAAAGATTACTTAGAACACAGGTCTATGGTGCAGTAGATTATTTGTGTTTTCATGGTGGGCCAAGGAGGGGGCAATTTAACTGATGATCTCATTTTCTACCACTAAAATAGCCTATCATTTATTTTTAGATATTGTTCAGGCATAGTTCATACAGTCATACAGTGCTAATGGATGCTCTGCCAAAATATGTTTGACAGTACCCTTTTTTACTTCTTTTCCTCCTCTTCCCTGAAGATATCTGTAGAAATATGGTGCTTATTTTCTCTAGAAGCAGTTTCATTGCATAACTTTAGTATGAAATTTTAAAAACTCTTTTTTTTTTGAGCATCGATAACATCATTGGTGTTTGTATGATCTTGTCTCTGAGATTTACACTTAATTTCCAGAATTTATAACTACCTAAGCTACACTAGGCTTCAAAACAAGTTGAAGAAATATATCAGGCTCACAGCCATCACAAGTTTTTAAATTCTACAGGTTTATAGCAACACCCCTAACAAACAAAGTGCAGATATTGCTGCAAACATTGAGAAAAGCCTCTGTAAAATCAACCACTGTAGCTTGCAACAAAAAGGCCATGAGATCCTGGTGGGATTGTGTATAGTATAGTATAGTATACTATGAGTGTCATTACTATAATCTGTTCTGCAAAAAATGTTCAGCCACTCTTTACCTCATCATCGGTAAATCTCCAGACTGCAGCTGACTACATATTATTTGGGTGGTCGTTCATTCTCAGAACACATGAAGATTCTAACTTAGGGGTCAGCCAACTTTCAGATGGACAAAAAAATTTATACCGTAAACTGAAAACTTTGAGGTTAGTAGTTCTTATTTACGTTTATAAATCTGTAGATTATTCAAGGCAACTAGAACATTTCTTACCACAGTTTTTATAATTTTGCCAACCTCAATCCTTGCAATTCTCTCCGCATTTTTTCTACTCTACAAATCTGACCCTGACATTGGGGAGATTGTTAATTAGGTAGTGAGTTGCATCAGTTGTGCTACAGGAAAAACATAGCACAAAAATGTGCATTGTGTGGGGTCACCAGTGCTGAGATTGGTAAATGTTGATCTGCAGTAATGTTTCCCAACCCCTTGCTCTCAACATTTTAGTGTTCTCCCTGCTCCAACTCACCTGGTCCAACTAATCAGTTCATTAACAAACCCTTACAGAGTTATACTGTGTTAACGCAAGGAAAGCACCAAACTATGGCTTCTAGGACCAGGTTTGGGAAACAGTGATCTACAGATATTTAAAAAAGATAAAATAAATCCAGTAAGTAACATTCTTTCACAACTAATATTTCAGGCTGGTGTGGTGTAATCTCAACGAAGAAAATGGTAAAGCTTTAGCTGCAGCTCTAAACTTGGAATCTTCCCGCCTAAAACAGCTGGACCTCAGTAATAATGAACTGCAGAATTCAGGAGTGGAGAAGCTCTCAAGTGGACTGAAGAGTTCACACTGGAGAAACTTAGGTCAGCATTAAATGCAAAAGCAAATTATTTATTTTAGGAACTAAGTTAATACTGTACTGGTTATTGTACTGTTTACTGCTAGTATAAAGCAGTTCTGGGGATTTGTACCCACCTGCTATGTTCTTCTTTGTAGAAATCTCTTTAGGGGCTGATATATTCTGTAGCCATAGCCAATCCTGGTCCTGGAGATCTATCACCCTGGAAGTTCAGGTCCAACACACCTTGCTCTAATATTCAGATGCCTCTGAAAAGCATCATTACTTGTATGTGGCGTGCTAGATTTGGGTTGGAGCTAAATCCTGCAGGGTGGTAGATCTCCAGCACATGGATTGAAAACCCCTGTTCTATAGGATGCCTATACTAATCATATTTATGTTTTTTTATATGAAATGTAGCACAGACCATGGAGGTCAGGATCGAATCAAACCAGGCCTTATGAAATGTAAGTCTAAAAAAAAAACACTAGCCCTACCTTATCTTCTGATATGCCCACAGTTGCATATTTGTACTTTCACCAATTCTATATAAGCCCAAAGAACACAAATTCTTACCTGTGGTGGTAATTAAATTTAACTGGGAAGAATTTTCAGGTCATGACGTGGATTTATCCTATATATCTGTATGATTTGGTTTACTTGTATGAGTAATTAATTAAGGTTTTGCTAAGGAAAATGAGAAGTGTAAATTACATAACTTTCACTCTAAAACAATTAATCATACAAGTTGTAAAAGGAAAAAAAATACATTGAAAAACCGAAAGTATAACTTTCGTCTTGTAAACATACCTGTTGTAAACATCTCCTACAGTGGCACCACAGTAGCCTCTAGGGTTAGATGTCTCAGTTTGCAAAGACAAGGAAAATCTCTCTCTGATGAAATATCTTAAAGCTGGGAGGAAAAATTACAAGTGCTTTGGGCAGACAGTTTTCTTTGGCTGATTTTCCCAACTAGCTGACTAATAAACAAGGAACCCAGGTGTTTAATGTTTCTGTTAGGAAGACAAATTTTACATATGTTTTCATTAGCCTTAATGTTAGCAGCTACACTAGCAAACAGGATTGTTTTTGTCCTTGTGATTGTACAATGTATTTGCTTAATGCATGCTGATTATTCTAGTCAGAGAACACTGATGGACAAAAACACATGAAGGATACAAAACTATAAATTTTGTCAAAACAGTGAGGATAAGGGATGCAGCGCTACAGGACAGAATATCACATAACACAACAAAGAACATACTAAGTGCTACTTTTAGGCTGGAATGGCCCTTTGATGACCCAGTCACCTATTTTGCTTTCTGTTTTCAGATGCCTATCTGGATCCACACTGGATCCAAACATGTCAAGTGTTAATCTCTGGTTGTCTGAGTACAACAGGAGGGTTGAACAGAGAGAGGAGAGGTGTGAGTACATCAATCATCGTGAAAGATCTGAGTTCTGCAAGCAGGTTCTGTCTGGGCGCCATTACTGGGAAGTGAAGTGGCATAAGAAAATGATTATTGGAGTGGCATATATAGGGATCAACAGGAAAGGAAGAGGTGATGACTGTAGTCTTGGGTTTAATGACAAATCATGGAGCCTGGAATGTGACAAACTTTGCCAAAGTGCTTGCCATAACAGTAAGAGCACAGTGAAATGTGGTACCACTTCCAGCCAAGTGGGAGTGTATCTGGACTGGCCTGCTGGCACTGTGTCCTTCTATGGTGTCTCTGATCAAAACAAACTGATCCACATACATACATTCCAGTTCAAATTCACCGAGCCCCTCTATGCAGGCTTTAAGTTTGAAGTACCTCAGTCCTCAGTATGCAGTATGAAATAACCTTATAAGGTTTGTGTTTTCAATTTAACACCACTATCCCATCAAAACTGGCATATCAAAACAGTGAAAGAACAACAAAATTATGAGAATTGTGGGTTTTCCCACTTAAATGTAAACACTGTAAATAACAAATGCTGATCCTGCTGACCATTGTAGGGGAGCCTGTGGAACTGTTTTTTTTTTGTGTAAAATTTCATATGTTTCAAAATTAGCTCAGTGGGTAAGGTCAGGTTTTTTGAAGCCAAATCTTGGTTACTGAGCCGGGACATTGAAGGGAGTGACTGGATATATCATTTACTTTTTAAATATCATATCATTGGATATATCATTTACATTTTCTATGCAAATTCACGTCATTATAATTGTAAAAATCAATTCAGGCACACCCAATCATGTTTGGTGGTGACCTCTCCTCAGTATGGTCTACACAAACCTGTTCTAAGCAGCATAAAGTTGTATACATGCCAGAACACAGAAGCTGTATATTTTTTCATTATCTTCTTCAGAGTCTTTGAAACATTTAAGGACTCACGCTGATGTTTTTTGTGATGCAGGAAGACTTTTTTGAGAGGGATGCTGTGACATGAGATAATAACTTGTTTATGCCCATCTACCGGCTATTCTACCTGACATGGTGGAGACATTCATGGTCATCAAAGCTGAACAACAAGATTTTAATTCGATGATGAACCTACAGCCTATGCTGATTAATGTCATCCAATGTTCTATTATTTAGTCAAGTCATTAGTATTAAGTTTTGATGTGCCTTAAGGACCAATCATAGATTTAGCGATAATTATGATTTTAATATAACAAATGAGAAGTCATAAATTGATTAGCTTGATTTAAATATAATTTGCATTTAAGTATAATGATTTGAGAGCAGAGGGTAGAGAACCTGCAGCTGATACAGGTTTGTAATGGTCTGATTTACTTTTGGTGTCATTCTTTGGTTTCAGTCCATTCAATTCATTCTTTCCTGTACCTGTAATGCTGAAATGATTTTTAAAGAAAATTTTGTGTCTTATTTTTGGATATTGGCTTCCTAGTTTTGCTTTATTTCAACTTTTGGAGTTTTTCACATTTTTCAAGATTTTACAGTATTATCTAAGTACACTTAAGTTGTGGTAAATTACCCAACAACATCATCACAAAAGCAATAGATGAAATCTTTTGGGAGGTTTAAAAAATTGTCTTCATAATTCATTTTAATAAAATACTGAAAAGTTTAACTGTTTGGTTATTACAGGTGCCTTAGTGTTAGGTAATGCATCGTTTTACAATTCACAATTTAAAAATACATTTTTGAATTTCTTTAATGTCAAAAGCCACCAGGATCCAAGTTTAACATGTGAGTTTTGTAATAAATGATGGTCGACCAAATATTTTAGAGCAGCAAAAAAGATGGTTTAAAAAATGCATCTCTGTAATTAATTTAAATTAATTTCTGCAATTTCTTGTTTATAATAATAATTTAAAAGATTCCACTTTATTTGGAAACCCTCAATAGATATCAACAGATGTTAAAATTATAAACAAACTACTTGGAGGAAGTCTGGTGATTCAGAATTAGGATTAGGATCTACACAACATCTACAGTGGGCTATGAACCAGAAGATATATGTCAGGCTTAGGATGTAATGAAATATAAGTTTTCAGAACACAATTCATACAGAAATTAAGTATCTGAAGTATGACACATTCTGTTTAATGCAAATTATCAAATGGACAAAAAGGTAAATATGTGTGCATGACGTCATCGTTCGCGTCACATTCAAGCTGCTTAAAATATCAGCACCCCCCACCTTGTGTTCTAAATCTACTCTATATTATATATTATGCATACATTATTTTTTACGTATTTACGTATTTCCTTTTAGGACATCTATTATGTATTCAGCCATCACTACTTTTTCAAAGTATTTTGGCACGTGTAGGTTAGTTGGTGGTTTTAGATCCCTGCTGAAAAAAACAATAAAAACCATTAAGTGTTTCTGTTGGTTCCTGATGGTTTCGTAACGTGTTTTGGCTTTTTAATGGGTTGCTATTACAGTGTAAAGGATCCAATGGCTTAACAGGTGACCAATTTCTGATTCTAAATGCATTTGATGGTTTCCTAATGGGATCTGAAGATGTTCTAAGGGAAAGAAGTGCTGTCTACTGGAAAGCATTAAGCCAGTTTTAATCCTAATGGTTTTTAATGGTCCATTTTCGGCATATACAGTAAATACAATGGATAGGAATTTGTCTACAATTAACCATTTCACATCAAACCGCTCTGGATGACTTTGTTTACATCTCGACTGCTGTATGCGTAAACTTTGAAAATTCGGTGGAGTTGCCTTTCAGCTCTTTCTCTTTGGACGGTAGTAACGCCTCCATGATCGTCCGGAGGGCGGCGCTTTGTACATGTAGCGCTCTGCACCGTCACTTCCTTACAGAAGAAGAAACGGAGCGAGTGATCTGCTGGAGCTACTTCAGCTCGAGAGAAAAAGAGGAAAACACTGAGTTCCGTTTAGAAAAGGGGAGAAATACAGTGTTTCCAGGTTTGAGCTGCTGCTTCTCTCCCTCTCTCTCCCTCTCTCCCTCTCCCTCTCTCTCTCTCCCTCTGTTTACTTCTCCAGACTTCAGGAGGTCGAAGCTCTTGGTGGACCAGGTCTGGCTGCGTCAGTCCTCTTTAATCTGCGAGGATGTCCGCTGATGTGATCAGCCGTGAGGATGGAGAGGTCACTATAACCATCCAGCTTATGCAGGACTCTGGGAGCTGCTCTAAGGCGGTGGGCACAGACCTCACCATGACGGACATTGGCACCCTGGAGGACCTGCAGAGTGAGAACACTCAGCTGAGGAGGCTGGTGGCATCGCTGGAGGCCAGACTGAAGAAGTGGAGGGAAGAGGGAGAGCAGCACTCAGAGGTCTGTGCTTTACGAGATGTTGGTGGTTTTCTATTTTAGCAATTTTAGCGTCTAACACATCAGGCTCAACTCATCAGACTCAGTTTTTATGCTGGCCTGAAGCTCAATTTACAGAAAAGAATCTAATCTAAACTGCAGTTGCAATATTAGTCAGAGAAATTTGAACTGAAGTATTTTGCCAAATCAGTCAAATAGTCCATTCCATGCTGGTCTGTGCTGGTTTGGGTTAGCTGGTCACCCAGCATGGTCATGCTGGTTGACAAGAATACCAGCATCCAAAACACAGCATCCCAGATAGCGAGCATATATCGGTCCGCTGGCTAGATTTTTAGTTAGCCACTGCTGGTCCACCCTCGGACCACCCAGATTACTGTTCTGCATACAAGCTCTGACTAGTTTTTAATGTCCTTAAACAGACTTTAAATGCACAGAGATTTTTATTTAATTTTATTTTATTTAAGACAAATATTACAAATTAAGACAAAAAATAATGATTAGCTCTGATATAAATAGATTTTATAGAAAATGTTGTTGCTGACACTGAGCTAGATTAAAATTATTTACTTAACTAATTTACAAAGTATAACTAAAGAAAAGAGGGAAGGAAAAATCAGTAAATTGGACTGTGAGTGGAAAATGAGGGATGATAACTTTAACTGCCCATGGGCCGCCAGGAAAATGCTGACCAAACGCCAGTGGACTGCCAGCTTTACAGTGGGCCGACAGTGGTCTGCTATCCTCTTGCTATCAGGGCTATCGCTGCTGTCAGAACAAAACCTCTTATCTCCATTTTTCACATTTTTCAGTTTTTGACATAATTTGAAAATGCCTTTACATGGTGTGTACATTTTGTGATGAATGGAACAAAAGTACAAAATAACATAGAAAAACATCTGCTTCCATTGGTTTACATAAAAAGTAAAGAAGGTTTTTTCCTTCTCCTGTAAAGTTACCATTTTGGAGATACAATGTTTTGTTCCGACAGCAGTGAAATACTGGTTTAAGCTGTTTTTAAACACGGGTTTCCAAAACATTTGTTTTTCAGACTGACCACTATCTTACCATCATCAACATCATGTGTAGAAAACGTGTGGGTTCACTGATGGAAATCCCCTTTAACATCATGAAGGGTTTGGTAATGACTTGCTAAGTTGGGTCAGGTGCTTTACAGTAGAAGAACGCTGAGATGTGAAGTGTTCAGCCCTGCTTGAAGTCATTTTGGTGGTGTTGGAGAAGGAAAATACTGTTCTCTGAACTAATTTGCCTGTTAGAGCCAAATAGATTGAATAGACTTAATGCAGGATTTTAAAATGCTGCATTATAGAGTTCAAGGTTCTGACCCTCAAGCCAGTTTGTACATTTTAATGTTTTCTTTTCTCTGACACACCCGTTTAAGAGTCATGGATGGTTTTATAATGGACTGATAAGTGGAGCCAGGTATGATAGAGCAGGAATACTACTAGATGTGCCATGCATGGCCCTTTGTAAGGTTTTTGTAGCTGGGCTGGTCAGTGTGAATGGAAGTTGTTCCATGTTTCCTGCTCTAACGCATCGGACTCAAACCTTGAAGGGCTTAATTAGCTGGCTAGCTGAATCAGCTCTACTAGAGCATAAAAAAAGACAAACAGCACAGTGAGACCCCTGAGTGAAGCCTCAGTGCACAAGCAGTGCCACGTCTTCACATTTTCATCCCAATAAACGGCAAAATAATGAGTGCCTGAATATGTGCCTGTTCATATGTTGATGTTATTATGTTCAAGATACAAATCCATGTATGCTCAAATGTGTAAAATGTTCCTTGTATGTTAAAATTATTCTACAGAGACCTAATTGGTTTGGCTCTAGTAAGTAAAGGTTCTCCAACAGAACTTTTATACCACCTGGTTAAAAAAAATAAATCCCAAAAAGAATGACTAGAATTTATAATTGATTTCTAAAAAAAAAGCCTCTTCTTTTGAGCTGTTTACTCTGACAGGATGTACCAAAATGACTAGTTTTGATCTTTGACACTGGTTTCTAAGAAAAGCGGTACATAAGGGACCTTCAGTTCATGTTTTTTCCGTCATTAAAACACATTATTCACACCTTGAAAGGGCTGATAATTAGCCACTGAGCTGGATCAGGTGTATTAGAGCTGGGAAACAACAAGAAAAAGTCCAGTTTGGACAGTATTGTGATAAGGATTAGGACTTTTAGGTGAATTGGGTGCATTTGTGATGGAAAAACACTAAACTGTGAGCTGGGTTACATGTATTGCTAATTGATCACCGTTAGATACATTTTTAGCTAAGTTACAAATCAACATCAATAAGGAAACAGTAAACTAGTACCGACTAATCCTGGGGCAGAGGGTGCATCACTCTTTGTGCATTGAAGCGTCTCACAGTTGGTCTCACTTCCCTGAGCTGTTAATATGTTCTATGCTTTAAAAGAGCTGATCTGGCTCGTGAGCTAATTATCAAGCTTTTCAAGATGTGCATCAGGTGCATTACAGGAGGAGACCTGGAAAACTGCAGAGATTCAGAAATGCTTACATTCACAGTGACCAGCGATTTCCACCATCAGGCTTGTAGTCCACCTTACCGCTGCTAGCCTGACAGTGTCTGTGTTTACATGCAAAGACTTTTGCTAATCTGATTGAACGCATTCCTATTATAGATGAAGACTGAGGTGTTTATATTCTCACTCTACTCAACAACCTGATGGAAAATCTGTTTACATGCTTACTACAAGTAATCAGATCCAAAATAACACACATGCATAGAGAACCGCTTAGTGTAGACATTACCATGACAACGAGCATCACGTCCAGTCAGAGTGAGACGAGCAGCAGTGAGCAGTGCTTGTGTTTTTAATTGCTTTAAAATGATGTCGGACTCAGGAAAACGTCCTTCACATGTCCTTTTTAAAGAAGGCCGAGAGGAAGACGTCGTGTTCTGAGACACATAAGCTGGACGCTTAAAAGGGTCTTCCTTTCTAAGACCAATAAAGTGCATAACATAACACCTGCACTGCACAGCTTCCCAACCTCAACACGCTTGATTCAGCTCAAAACAGACTCGATCATTAGCTAATAGTGTGACTCGGCTGCAGTGCAGGTGGAGCCAGTGAATCCTGACAGGGGCAAAAATGCAGCTGGTGAAAAACAGGAAGCCATTTAGCTTAAAGTGGGGCACCTGTTGCACGTTATACCACATGTGTAAGCACTTGCATGACAGTTGGTTCTATTAAACAGTTTCATTTCCAGTTCTAAGACACCAGCAGCTAAATATGTTCTTTTTCCCCTCAGTGTCACTTTTGTTGTCCTTCTGCAAGTAAAAAACAGGCTGATATGTTTTTCCACGCTTCACAAACTACTGCAGAGAACCTCATTACAGTCTTAATTGCCTCCATCAGTGAAGTTTGAAGTTTGAAGGAAATAACATTAATAATAATAATCTTGTGTTGTTTTTTCCACAGGGAGCATTTGAAGACTTGCAGAATGAAGACAGCAGAGACCAGCTCACAGTACAGGAGCTGGAGGATGAACCAAGTCTGTTATCTGTCTTGAAAGCAGAACCAAATCCGAAAGAAATAACTTCGTTTGTACATGCTGGAGGAGATGATAAGCCCAGCTTGCTCTCTTTTGCTAAAACTGAACTAACTGCCACAGAAACAAAGGATGTTGTATGTGAAAACGAAAAAGAAAACCAGCACACGCCTCAGAACCTGCCAGAAAACCCCAGTCTCTCTTCCGTCTGTAAAACTGAACCAAACCAGACGGAAATACCTTACCACATATACAGCGAGGACGAACAGCAAGCACCATTGGATCTTTGTGCAGTGAAGCCGGTAGACAGCAGGAAGTCCAGTAATATGAAATCAGATGCTCCAAGTAAGTATGTTTGTTTTATTCTGCTTTTTTTTCAATTATCAGTAGAGATGAGTCGATACAGGAATTGGAGTCTGTATCTAATCTATGTAGATGCCCAATGCTGATTAGTCATTCTGTGGAAACGTCCATTTTTGTGTCCCTAGTGTTTACAGAATACACAAAGTTACAATTTATTTATATTTCAAAATAAAACAATGTTATTTTAACAATTACACCTTCTTGAGCCACCAATTTAGCAACATTGGTTTTTAAATCAATTATATAGAATTCCAAGCATCACAGAAGAGCTCGTCCTCACAGTAATGTGTAAAGGGTGAGGCCATATTTTGAAGTAAAAAACATGTTTTTCTTCAATAATCTGTACATGACTATGAAATATTTAAGTGAAAAATATAAAAAAAAACATATTAGAAAATATATAACGAAAGTTGTGGTCCCCAGGAGTCTCTCTCTCTCTCTCTCTCTGACTCTCTGTCTCTCATTAAACAGAAATAAACTTGTCTAATGTGATGTGCGTCCACACACTTCTGAAAGGAACATAAACCCCATTTCTCAACAAATTTAGCCAGCTGTTTAGCGGTAGATTAGTCCTCTGTAATTCTTTGTCTGTTTGCCAACACAGCGATTATTGCCTTTTATGCATTGCCATCAGGATATCGGTCAATCATGGACGTTATCTGATTATATTGCCCTGTCGCCCAGGCCTACTATGACCAAATCAGGCTCCCCAAGACGTTCTTCCAGAGTACCAGATGGTTTAGTTACAGTGCATCCTTAATTAAAAGTAAATCTGATATTAACTTTTGTAAAACCTCCCTGTCTAGAAATCCCAGCTGAGCCCAGCCAGTTGTGCACCAATACTGAGAAAAGTGTCTCTACATCGCAACCGGTGGACATCCACATGAAATCCCACAGTGGACTGAAGCTTTACTCCCAGTATGGCATCGCCTTCGCTAAATCATCTCCTCTTAAAAGATATACGAGGTTACCCGGTGACGATAGACGTTTCCAGTGTTTTCAGTGCGGTAAAACATTTGCCCAGTTGAGAGACTTTAAAATCCATTACAGGACACATGTGGAGGGGCAGTCTTACCAGTGTTCCCAGTGCGATAGGAGTTTCATTTGCTTGGCAAGCCTTACTATCCATCAGAAGGTTCACAGTGGGGAGAAGGTTTACAAGTGCGCTCAGTGCGATCAAACGTTCACTCACTCAGGAGACCTCAAGAAACACAGCAGAATCCACATCCGAGAGAAGCCTTACCAGTGCTCCACCTGTGGAAAGAAGTTCTCACAACTGTCGATACTCAAAATCCACGAGAGGATGCACACCGGAGAGAAGCCTTACCAGTGCTCCCAGTGTGGCAAGACTTGCACGAGGTTAGACAACCTCAAAATCCACCAGAGGATGCACACTGGAGAAAAGCCCTACAAGTGCCCTGTCTGCGGGATGCAGTTCTCCTACTCGTCGATCCTCAAGAACCACCAAAGGACGCACACCAAAGAAAAGCCTTACCAGTGCTCTCAGTGCGAGAAGACATTCACTCACTCGGCGAGCCTCACCAACCACCAGAGGATACACACCGGAGAGAGACCCTACCAGTGCCCCGAGTGCGACAAGACGTTCGTGCGGTTGAGCGACCTCAAAACCCACAACAGGACGCACACTGGAGAGAAGCCTTACGAGTGCTCGCAGTGTGGGAAGAAGTTCTCTCACCCCTCAAACCTTAAAAACCATCAGAGGACGCATCTGGAAGTGAAGCCTTACAGGTGCAGCCAGTGCGGTAAAACGTTCAGCCGCTCGACGTACCTCACAGCGCATCAGAGGATACATACAGGAGAGAAACCCTACCAGTGCTCACAGTGTGACAAACCATTTGCACGGCTGAGCGACCTGAAAGCCCACTACAAAATACATACTGGGGAGAAGCCCTGCCTGTGCTCCATCTGCGGAAAGGGTTTCATCAAATCATCTGCGCTTCACAGGCACAAGCTGACTCATAAAAACACTACTGTAACGTAGTGTTTCACTTCTCATAGACATTCACAAAGCACTGCTAAGGCTTTTTCTTGGTTGTGCAATAATACTGTGTGGGGTGAGCAGTATGGCAGAAGTAAAGTATTGTGATACGTCAAGATATTTTAGTAATACTCAGTATACATCACAATATTTAGCCTTTTTGAGGTTTGATAAGATGGAAGGGACAAAAGAAGCAGCAGTTGCAACATTTGAAAGTTTACACAGTCAAAAATTTAGAAATACTACAAAATTTCACAAACTGTTCTGTAACATCCAGTTAAACAGGACTAACTATGCTCTGCTTGTAATTAATCATCCAGTTGACCAGTATTCTACAGAGCCCTGCTGGTGACATCCTGCATAAATTTAAATAATGTGTGGCTGTGCCATATTAATGCGTGGGAATGAGATCCTAATGCAGGGGTGCACAACTCTGGTCCTAGAGGGCCGGTGTCCAGCACAGTTTGGTGATTTACATTTTACATTTACAGTATTTTGGCAGATGCTCTTATCCAGAGCGACTTACAATTTGATCAGTTTACACAGGTAGGCGAATATAATGTTAGGAGTCTTGCCCAAGGACTCTTATTGGTATAGTGTAGGGTTCTTATCCAAGCAGGGACTGAACCCCAGTCAACAGTGTAGAAGGCAGAGGTGTTACCCACTACATTATACCAGCAAATGCAACAAAATGCGTTTATCCGTTAATTGCCAGGTTTAGTGGTGTTTAACTGCGCTGGACACCGGCCCTGCAGAGTTGTGCACCCCTGTCCTAATGCGTGGCCACGACTTAGTAAGGCCGGGAAATGAGACAATTGAGACGTGGCCACAACTTAGTTAGGGAATGAGATTATGTCTTATTAAGCTGTGGTTAAGGCTTAATTATCTCATTCCCACGTCTTACTAAGTCGTGGACATGCAATAGGATCTCGTCCCCATGCCTTACTAAGTCCACCACTTAGAAATGCGTGAGAATGAGATAATGAAGTCGTGGCCACAACTTAGTAAGGCATGGGGAAGAGATCCTATTGCATGTCCACAACTTAGTAAGGCGTGGGAATGGGATAATTAAGCCTTGACCACAGCTTAATAAGGCATGATCTCGTTCCCATGCCTTGCTAAGTCGTGGCCATGCATTATTTTAGTTCTTGCCAGATGTCATCAGCAGGGCTCTGTAGTATTCTGACATATTGAGCATATCCCTGATAGCAAGAAAGCATCTTTTGACATTATGTAACAATAAACAAAATACTGTCTTATTGCCCACCACAATATTGTCAGAATAGTAATAGCACTTTCAGTAATGTGAGGGATGTCTAACCTACGCTTTATTTGGAGTGTATTTGCAAAGTAACTTGCAGTTTCGGTGGCCCATATTTATCAAGTGCCTCAGAGTAGAAACACTGATCTAATGTAATTCCTTTCAGTGTTGTGTTAAACACATAACCTGGTCCGAGATCTGCATTCCTACTCTGAAAATTCATTGTTGGCCTATGATTTCTATGATATGATTCCCATTATCCACACAGTCCATCTGCCGACTGTACTAAATTTTGCATGCCTCCTTCAGATTGTGTTCCTGTAGATGGGATGTGTGTAAGTCCTCAGTTCCTGATGTCTCTAAAAGATGGCTTCACTGCAGTTATAAGACTGAACCTTGTAATCGATGAACTGTTGGTGTATTAAAAGTGATTATTACTGAGTTTGAATAAAAATGATAGTTGAAGACTGTTGACTGATTCAGAATCTTCTAATTTGTCTAGCTTAGTTCAGCAGTCTTGTAGATTTGAGTTGTATGTGAATTTTGATTTATTTATTTATTTTTTTTTGGAAAATGAAAAGTGAAAATAAGCACACATTCTCTACAGGGTACATTTTAGTGCACAATTTGTATTCATTTGCCTATTGGTAAAATTAAAACATGATATGTGCCATAATTTTGCACAGGCCACATTTTATGTTTTATTTTCTTCCAGTATGTTAAATTAAGTAAATAAATAGTAACTGTGCATTAGAATGTGCAAAAGGGTGTTCTCTGTAGAGGATGTGTGACTTATTTCCCCTTAGAAAATCAACAAATCATGTAATTTGACAAGCGGTGTCCAAACCTTCATAAGTAATGAACCAGACTCATCTCCAGTTTGTTGTGATGAGATCAGTAAGGTTAGCTTTGCAAATGCTGGAAAAAATAATATGTTAATTTTCAGTTTGATTAGCCTGACTTTTAAGCTTAGTTGAATCTAACTCTGAATTTTGTATCTCACAAAGACAGGTCACTTTGTACTGGGCTACATCATAGTGCTGTAAGCCTGACCATCTCCAGGGCTCGCGGAGTATGAGGTGTTGGATCAATCGGTCACACCTTATTTGGATGATCCTCTATAGATGATCTACAGATACCTATATTAACAAACTTTCTGGTGAGAGTTGATTATCAACAACATTAAGGTTTTATTTAAAGGAGTAGGTGTAGGTTTAGTGTTGAAGTTAAGGTTAGGGTTAGGTTTAAGAATAGGTGTTGGTTTAGTGTTCAAGTTAAGGTTAGGTTTAGAAGTAGGTGTAGGTTTAGTGCCGAAGTTAAGGTTAGGATTAGGTTTAGGAGTAGGTGTAGGTTTAGTGTTGAAGTTAAGGTTAGGGTTAGGTTTAGGAGTAGTGTAGGTTTATTCAAGGTCACACAATTCAAGGTCAGTTGCATGCAATAGATATTTAGTTGAAAGTTAGTTAAAAATAGCCTGAGCATCTACAGTGGACCATCCAAATAAAGTGTTACCAATCAGTCAGTGCTGAGCTTCTAAACCAATCCGGGGACTGATGGGTGTACCCCTCAGGTCACTTTTGTCTTCATAACTTTCATGGCATCAATCACATGAAGAATGCTGGTTTATTTTTCTAAACCTGGATTAATTACAGCCTGAGTATTTAAGCCTGATTTACAGAGAAAGTTTGCAGCCACCTTCATAAAAAGAGGCGACTATGTTCAGGTTTAGTGAAGCTGGAACTTAATTAGGAACCCAGACTAAGCTGAGACACACCACTGGACGCTATTTGACAAAGCAGGATAAGTCATTAAGCTGGATACCTCACATTGGGCCTCATTCACCAGTATGTTCCTAAATTTGTTCTTAAATATGTTCTTGAGAAACGCCCTAAGAAAAAGTCTATGTCAGATTCATGTTTTGTTCTTAAAGCGCAGAACTGATCTCACCTTTGAGCTCTTGAGTGTGTGTAGATTCTGTTCTTACCTAAGAACAAATCCCAGATAAGAAAACACTGCTGAATGTTAGAATCTTCATGAAAACCGCGCAAGTGGGTTTTAAGAAGATTTTGTTAAGAATAGTTGGTGAACAAGGCCCATTGAGTTTAAGTTACACTGTTAACTAAGAAAACCCCGCTTGTGAGATACGCCCCAGCCCTGAGGAGCCGAGATGCAACCTGTGGGCTTCAGACAGGAGGGACGCTGCTCTTTTACAGCTCCAGCTCTCAGCAAGAAACCATGAATCTTTCTTGCAACATCTCAACGTTCACATGTGGGAAACAAAACAGGATGAATAAGTTTTAAGAGTCAATTGGGAGTTGTAATAAACAGTCATATGAAAAGTAATAAGTGAACACATCCTCTACAGAGAACACTTAAATATAGCATTTTTACAGTAAATTTAATGCACAGTTTCTTTTAATTAGCTGAGTTTAACATATTGGGGAAAACATAATACAAGAAACATGAAATGTACCATAACATTTGCACCTGTCACATTTTATGTTTTATTTTTCCCTCAGTACATTAAATTCAGCAAATAAACAGTAACTGTGCTTTAAGATGCACAGAGGTGTGTTCATGGAGTTTGACTGGGGGTGCCAAAACTTTTGCAGCTTTTTGTTTTGCCTGAGGGGGACATGGTTTAGACTGTGGAACAATAGTAAACATAATGAGGGGACAGTCAAGAAGCAACATAAGATCAAGCAGCCATCAAAAAAAAAAAGATTTATTGTGATCTTGAATAGTTTGAATAAAAAATGATTTTACAGCAAAATTATTTAGTTATTTCTGTAACAAAAATTGACTGCACTTTATCTTGGCTTAGCTTGGCTCAGACACGTTCTTAAATATATTTTATGACATACAGAATTAGTGGATAACACAGAGTTCATGGAGCTTATAGCTCTTCACTTTTTAAAAGACTTGATTGTTGATGTGATTCAGCCAGTCTGCTACACAGTTAGTGAGTAAAAAGTAGATTAAATCCATGAGAACATTTAAAATAACAAGGACTATATATTACAGCGTATGAAATGGATTGCTGTTCATCGTTTTTGGTCTGTACGTACTGGCAGTGCCGTCCTGGTAAATGTCCTGGTAAACATCCTGGTAAAAATGCATTTAGTGTTCTCATTAATTGAAGTTAAAAGTCACAGGGCCATGGAATTGGCCACCGGAAAGAACAGGGGCGGTAACCTTGCTGCTACTGTCAGCCGTGATGGTCTGGTGCACCCCAGGGGCCCCAGGAACCCCAGGACCCACAGGAGCCCCAGGAGCCTGAGCTGAACTGGAGACAACGCCATCTGCCTGGTCTGTCTGGTCTTGTACTGAAAAAAGAGAGAGAAATACTGTTAAAGTTGCTGGATAGATAATTACATAATTAATATTTGTTCAGTTTTATTAGAGAAGCATTAAAATACACAGAGCACTGCCTCCTCTGAACTTTAACTGACCTGACTAATGCAGCTAATGAACCAGACCACTGATATACTGTATGCAAAAGTTTGGGGACCCTGGTCAAATGACACGTTTCTTTAGACTTTCTAAGTGTTAATAAGTGAACACATTCTCTACAGAGAGCACAATTCTGCACAGTGTAATACACAATTACTGCTTATTTGTTGAATTTCACATATTGAAAACAAATAAAACATAAACCGTGGCCTGTGCAAAACTTATGACACATTTTATGTTTTATTATTACTTTTTTTCCAGTATGTCAAACTTGTGCACAAAAACTAGCACAAAAAAGCCATATTTCAGCTTGCTCTCTGTAGACCAAGTATCAACTCATTTCTGCTTAGAAAATCAACAAAATATGGAATTTGACCAGGGTGTGCAAACTTTTGCATACGGTTGTATAAGCCTCTAGAACAACTAGTGATATGTGATACATTGTATTTATACTGGAACACTGTGACACTACTTTTCAGTTTTAACAATCTTTTTAGTGATATATTTGCTAGAAGTTAGATGTTATAATCAATATAATGCATATAAAAAGCACTATAATTTTTATGTAAGAGATTATCTGAATTATATTTTGTGATTACAACTAAAAAAATCATCTATAAGTCAGTGGCAGGCTTAGTGGAAAACCTGGCAGTGCTGTGGTGTTTTGGTGTATAATAAGGCTAAATATGACGCATCTATGAAATATAGTACATGAACAATA